GTAAGGGCTAAGAGATTGATTATAAAATAAAATTGCAGGGGGGCACAAAAACATTCCATTACCGATGCCTTAAAATTGCTGTATTTGTCCTCAACACAGTCGATTCCGTACTAATATCATTTCAAATTCAACGAGATGGAAAGCGATTAAATGACTGAATTGCCCTTCCATTCTATGACGCTATGTTCCATCAAATCCTGTGTCCTGCCGTGCGGTTTGGATTTTTCACGTCATCAAATCTCATAATGAGGATATGGACGCTGCGATAGCTTTTTTATTTATTTAGAAATAATGTAAAAATATATAAAATATATCGATTTAGATTAATTTCAAAATTATTTTAGAGTAAAGATTTTTATTATAATATTTTGTTTTGTTTAATCTTATAAATATTAAAAGTTATAAAATAGAGTATTATTTTGTTAAATCATTGACTATTAAAAATTATAAAATGATCATCGATAATTCATATATTTTAAAATTAATAATTTTTCGTTATAAATTTGATGACAGTTTAAACTATATATTAATATACTGACTGAGATATATTAAAATATAACATTAAAATCTCAATCATTTATCGTATTTCAGTAAATACACTAACGTCTAACTCAAAAAAAATGGTTTTCCTTTTTCCCATATGTATGGGGTAAGGGGGAGGTAAGATAGTAGACTACCCCTAACACCAGGTTGAGAGCAGCTTCCGTAAGAGACCTCCGAATTATGAAATGTCCTCCGTGTGACTCGATCCCACGACCTCAAGGTTAAGAACCTTGTGCTCTACCAACTGAGCTGGATGATCATTTCACTAACGTCTAACTCACATTACCTTATTTTTTTTACCCTAACATAATAAGTGCTGCAAATATACGTAAATATGAATTCATGACCTTATTTTTTTACCCTAACATAATAAGTGCTGCAAATATACGTAAATATGAATTAAATCGAACGTGACAGCAAGCTTGTGAATACCTTAACTTTGATCACTCAATTGAAGCTAAAACCATAACGTCTTTTTTCTCTCGCTTATAGTATTTACTTCTTTCTTTTTCATTTTGGTTTAACAGAGGCAGCATAAGTTTTGATGTACATTATTCAGCTTATGTATTCTTTATTTCTCATTTATGTTTTAATATGTATATTTATTGTTTTGTGTTTTTTAAATGTTTAATAATTTTATCTTTATGTCATATTTTAATATTCATAATATATTTTTAGTCGTTTGATAATTTTTTCAATGTTAGATTTAATATTGTTCCGATTTATCAAAATGACACTCATTTATTATTTTGTTGATCTTTTCTGATTTAGACCCTCGGATTACACTTTGATGTGTGGTTTACGTTCATAGATAATTTTCTCACAACGCTCGATTCTGATTTACAATTGTTGATGGACTTTCAGTAGTTTAATTTCCTGTTGTAGTTCGTTTTTCAATACAATTAAATTTATTCGTATATACAATTAAATTGTGGTCCTTGAATAATTTTGAGTTGCTAGTTTATTATATCAATTGTTATAAATTTTTTTAATTAATATATTTAATTTTTGAACTTCATTATAACTTTATATATATTTTTAATTTTAATAAAAGTAATGGTTCTATTTATATTAAAAAAACTTTAACCACTCAATAAAAGTAAATTTAAAATATTTTTATTTAAAAAAGTTCTGATTCTCGGAGCTCACTATATTAGACGTAATCAAACTATTTCTTCCGCCTATTTTTGTTATATTGTTGCATGAAACATTGAGTTAATTTATCTATAGATTTGAGGATATGTCTATAGATTGTATGTATGCAGACCCGTCCCAAAAAATATGTAGGCTCTATATTAATTTTTAAAACGAGGTTTTTGAAATATTTTACAATAATGATTAATTTTTAAAATTTAAAATTATGAGAGATTCGAAGTATTTTTACCAAAGCTCATCATGAGAAACGATTAAAGATATTATCAAAATTTTTGTTTGCATTTCTCTGTCACTTTTCCAAAAACTAAACGATAAGTTTGTTTTCTTTTCGAACTAAAATATCATTAGGGCACAAAGATTATATATAGATACACCTGAATGGTATTCATATGTATGCCTCCAAATTTTGGGTCCTATAATGTGTCACATGCCACACTTGTATGTATATAAGCATATGTATGTATTATAATCATCTCGACTATTAAAAAAAAGAAATTGATTAATAAAATCACTAAAATGCCATCTTGAATGATTTGTAAATACTAAACTCTTACTTACGTTTTTGTTTTTGTTCGACTAAAACTACTCTTAAGATTATTTGATATTTTCATTTTTTATTTTTGTATATACTGTCTTAGGCTTTTAAATTGTCAGAGCCCAACTAAGGTAACACACTCTTAAATGCTTAACGGGGTGTTTAGTTCACGGAATATAATATTATCTTTGGGCATAATATTACAAGAATGTAACATTACCATAAGAATGTTATATTACATTGTTTGATTTGTTTAGTAAGAATGTAAGATTACAGTGTTTGGTTGGAGAAATATAAAATTATTTGAATGCATATTTTACTAAATTACTTTATGATATATGTTTTTTAAGTTAAACTTTAATATTAAATTATAAATATTTGAATGAAAATTCATAATAATATTTTAATCGTTATACTATTTAACTTTAAGGAAAATATATATTTAATATATAATTAATATAAGTAACATATTAAATTTATATTTTAAAATAATGTTCATAAGTATCATATTTATTTATATAAAAATATAATATAATATGAAAAAAAATAACATTATAATATTGAGTGAATAAAGATAATTTTTTTCAATATATAATACCCGTTTTTAATAACTAAAAGTTAAATGTTATTTTAAATAATTACATTTTTACAATAATATTTTTTTCATCCCATAAAATTATAAATAGTAAATATATTGAATATTAAAATTATTAATTATTTTAAATTTATTAATATTTTATTAAATCAAACTCTTTATATATTATTATTATGTTTATAGTTTTGAGTAAAGCATAAAAAATAAGAATTGAGAATGATCATTATAAAAAGAATTTGTTAATTCAAGGGTATTCTTATCCAAAGTGAAGTAAATTGTGTAATACCTAAGAATTTGGAGGTAATATCATTCTCACCATTTTAACAAAAAAATATTACTATTGTAAAAAGAGTATTATCGGGTAATAATCTTTCCCGTGAATTTTCAATATATAAGACCCGTTTTTAATAACTAAAAGTTAAATATTATTTTAAATAATTACATTTTTACAATAATATTTTTTTCATCCCATAAAATTATAAATAGTAAATATATTGAATATTAAAACTATAAATTATTTTAAATTTATTAATATTTTATTAAATCAAACTCTTTATATATTATTATTATGTTTATAGTTTTGAGTAAAGCATAAAAAATAAGAATTGAGAATGATCATTATAAAAAGAATTTGTTAATTCAAGGTATTCTTATCCAAAGTGAAGTAAATTGTGTAATACCTAAGAATTTGGAGGTAATATAATTCTTACCATTTTAACAAAAAAAATATTACTATTGTAAAAAGAGTATTATCGGGTAGTAATCTTTCCTGTGAATCAAACGTGAGAATACAATTTAAAAAAAATTATTTCTTTTAGTAATAATCTTTTTCGCAAACCAAATATACTCTAATAATCTTAACAAATTAAATCCTAACTAGTACCCGAAATAACAACTTTCAACAAATTGAAAAAATAGGACTGAAATCAAATTGAAACTAGCCCACTCTAATAACCAAACTAAAATCAGCTTTCCTCTCTAATATGCGCTTCGATGGGTCTGACTTTTTCACAATTTTGTTTATTAAGGATAGTATATTGTTAAATTTTCTGATTATTAAAAATTATAAAATGATTATTTGATTATAAAATATTATTTTGTTGAGTCTTATGACTATTAAAAATTATATATTGATCAGTCAATTATTTATATGTTTCAAACTTGTCCTTTTTCGTTAATCGCGACCGTCTGAATTAGACGTTAAACAATTGACTGAAATATGATAAAATTTGATATCATAACCATTCGATTTGTATTTTTTTAGAACGACTCTCCATTTATATTATGTCATCGAACCAATTTTTGAAATATTATGCCATCAAGCTGGTGCTTGAAAACAATAATAGTGCTACTAGACATCATTAAAATATAATTTTATTATATCTTAATTAGTATGTTATCGTCCAACTTCAGACGATCATCATTTTTTTTTACAGAAAATGATGAATTTAAAACGTATAAATAGTTAGATAATAATTTTATAATTTTTAATAATGGAAAGAATCTTCAAAACAATACTTTATTGTCGAAGACAATTTTTATAATCAGGTCCTAATAATTATAACACTATTGAAACTTATATTTTAACAAGCACTTCGATAAAGTCATAAGAAAAACAATAACAATACTCTTTGATTGACTTCTCCATATATAGCATTGGTTGATAATTAATTAATTAATTACAATAAAAATACTCTTTTAATTTATTTGACTTTTCCATATATAGCGTTTGGCTGATAATTAATTATGCTACTGTACATCATATCGTAGGGTAAATTTTGGACATTTATACATTTCAATTTCTTTCGTTTTCTCTTTCTAGCTTACTTTTAAGATTTAAGTTTATCCAACTATCTAATTATATCTTACTTTGTTAGAAAAATATCAAAATAAGTTATATTAGGAGAGTCACATTCGCCTTTACAGTATTTGATTTGAATGAGTTGACCAAAAGATCTAATAATAGTAATTAATTAAAAAAATAAACTACACCAAAAAGTATTACTATCCTACAAAATGGGAACTTGTAAAAATCGTAAATTATTATTTAAATAAAATGTTTAGATAATAGAATACGTTAGTGGAGAGCAAAACAACAAATTGGTAATTTTGGAAGTTTGTTTTCATGGATCGTTTTAATTGGTGCGAGTGTTAAAACTGTAAAGCGAGGAAAATAAACCAAAAAATCATGTGCTGTGAAAATTGCACACCACTGGGCTTCCTCCTCGGCCTTCCCTTTGCTTTTCTTTCTCTCATCATCTCTATTGTCGGCGTTGTTGTTTGGATCGTGGGGTGAGTCTCGGGATCATTTTTCCATTTTCTCTTCACCAATCAATCAACTTACGAGTATCGGTTTCGATTGTGGAGTCTTTGCCTCTAAATTTAATGCTTTTGCAGGTTGTTGTTGACACTGATCTGTCCTTGTTGTTTGTGCGTGACGGTGCTAGTGGAGATGGCGCTGGAGTTGGTCAAAGCTCCAATTCATGTCATGGAATGGTTCACACAACATATACCTTGTTAATAACCTCTGCTAATCTAAAGTAAACCTCCTGCTCTGATCTGCTAATTTTTTTTCAGTGAACATATATTGCTAGCATGTATATTTTCCTGCATCTCTTTGCTAGTTATTTGTCTGATGAGCTTAAGGGTGAAATTTAGGCAAAGTTTCACTATTGTATTCTTGACTATAGATAATGGGATTTATTAAAACTTAATTAGAGAGTGGCAATATATTTTATTAAAAAGTCATCTTCTTGATAAAATTTAAAGGCTATAAAATGTAATTAACTGAAGAAGAATATGAAAATTACAGCAACATGGGCTAAGAATGACCAACTCATCTTTGTTCAACTTTCCCCTGAAACAAACATGATATGATTAATTCTATCTTATTCCCTCTCTATTATCAGAGAAAACAAATTTAAGCTTCCATTGCATTTTTTTTAACTAAAAAGAGTTGCATATAATATTTGGTTCCAAGTATCCGGCAAACCCGGAAGGCACCAATGGAAACAGTCGCTGCCTCTGTGAAGGCCACTGTATGCGGCCGGGTGAGCGTCTTTCCGATACTGAGAGAGTCCGGTAACGTCGAGCAAATACACTGGTTTCTTAATCCTACTAAGGACCTTCTTCACAACAACCCAAGCCATGGATGTGCCTGCTGCTGCTGGATATCTCGTTCCGAAGAACGGGTGAGTCTGTCCGATACATGATTGTGTTGGTTGGTTCCACTCCTTTCCCCTGTAAATCAACATTTTATCATAAAAATTGCAAAGCAAATGATAAGGAAAATTTAGCACAAAGAGTTAAGGTTGCTTACTCGTAATGGGTTGGAGAAATGCCTTGGAAAAAGACTTTGGTTTTGGAAGGATCAACGTCGCAGTTCACCCATCTGGACCACGTTGTTAATCCTTTGTAGTACGCAGTCATACGGTTCATATCTTTCCACGTTTTTCCACCCTCTTCTATGTAATCAAATCTGCACAACAAATATTAATTATTACACTAGATTTTAGTCTGTCCATTTCTGTAAAAAAAATTAAACAATGACGATTTCTAAAAAAGCAAGCAATTAAAAGGTAAAAACATATTCGTGCAAGTAATTTTTTCTTTTTCATGGAACAAGTAAGATTTCAGTGAACACAATGCATTAAAAATCATTGTTCAAGAGAGACCATTATGGTACGTGTTTATTTTTTTCCCTAAAAGACAAAGCACGTGTGTCATTTCAACATTGACACTTCTTTAAGAACTGTAATATTTTAACATTATAGAACTAAACTAAGGCAGTTGTACGGCTAAAATGATATACTATCGGTTTTGTTATTATTTTAAATAATAAAATTTGTAAAAAAAATCGAAAATATCGTTATTTTGATCGGTAATAATTACCTATATAGGTAAATGCGGTAAAACAATTCGATAAAAATGATATTTTAAGTAGCGTTTTACCGAAAACATCATTTTTTGACCGGTTTTTATTTACCGTAATTAGAACAAGTCAAAATAAAGATATTTTAGATTATTTTTTATCGATTTTGTTATTTAAAATAATAATAAAACAGGTAATACATTATTTTAACCGTATACTAAAATGCCACGTAAGCGTTTCCCAATTATTTTGTTATAAAAAAAAAAAGAGAAAAATGGAGTTTGTTGTTTGAAATATGTGAGAGCAATGGGCGGGGGAACAGAAAAGGAAATGATATTGATCTTACGGTTGGGATCTTCCGCTGTTGGTCCACCAGTGCCAGGTGTTGAAGATCAGCATGTCCATCCCTTTCAATGCATCACCGCCTCTGATAGAGTCCAGCTTCAACACTCTTCCGAATCCATTGCTCACAACGTCAACAAGGTACGGCGTTCTATACAGCAATATCTTCACATCATACGACTGCGTCAATTATTATAAATCTTCACATCAGAGCAACTTATTTTATGTATAAACTATTTATATAATATAAATGAAAAAAACTTAGAATGAATAAGTTATGAAGATTAAATATATATAATTTAATAAAGTTATTTTTTTAAAATTTTATTACAGTTGATTTGATTGAAATTATTTAAAAAGTTATACGATTATATTATCAAAATTGAAAGTATAATGGTCATATTAACATTAATCTCATAATTAAAGTCATTTGAATAGTTCATCCTAAAAAATCAATAAAACTATTGTTGTGACTTTTTTTTATTTTTTTAAATAATAATGTGAAATTAAATTAAATTAATAGTTAAATGAGTAAATATGTAGTTTACCCTAATCTAAAACATGTATGAAAACCACATAAAATTAAGAGCGTGACATGTGATATCCACTAATCACGGCCCTCTTTTAGTGCACACTTACCCCTCTCCACTTTTCAACAAAACGACAACTCCCCATCTCACTTCAACTCTCTTTTCTCTAATATTTCTTGTTCAGTAATTTTCCACCTCTGCTCAAAACTATCCCCTAAAAATATAAATATCTGCCTTTTCCCTCCAAGTTGATTCCTTTTATGTATAAAAAATAATTAATTAATTTATTATATCATTTTGGATAAATTATGTGTTTAGTAACTAAACTATTAATTTTGATCAGTTTTAATATTTAAACTTTTAATTTTTTCAAAACTATAACTAACGTTTATTTTTTATTTCGTTTTAGTATCTCGCCCTAAAAACTTAACATATGATTTGCATGTGGCAAATTTTTTTATGGGTAAACTACATCATTCATCACTCAACTATCTTCTTACTCCTATTTTGGTCACTTAAATATAATTTTTTTTTAATTTAATTACTTAACTTTCAAATTACTTCTAATTTAATCAATCTAACTTTCAAATTTATTTTTTCATTTTTAATTATATATTAATAAAATAATAATAATAAATATCATGTCACATAAATTATTTATAAAAAAAATAGAGTGATTAAAATAAGAGTAATTTGAAAGTTATGTTGTTAAATTGAAATTTTTTAAATTTTAGTACCAAAATATGAGTGAGAAGATAGTTGAGTGATGAACGATGTAATTTATATATAAAAATGTTGTGCATGAGATACTAAAATGAAGTATGGTTTTGAAAAAAATTTAAAAATTTAGATGTTAAAACGGACTAAACTGATAGTTTAGATATTAAATACGTAATTTACCCTATCATTCTTCAATAAAAGTTCAAAAAAGAAGTTAAAAAATTTAAGGGTTATTTGTTTTCCTTTTAATAGAACCATTCAACGTTAAATGCTAAACGGTTCAGCATTCAGCACGTTTATTTCGCACCTCTGAATGATTCAGTGCTGACTGATTCAGTAAAACATTGTTGAATGATTCAACACAGAAGTACATTCTGAATGATTCAGAATCATTATCAAACAGCATGTCACATTCTACTTCATACAGAGTCTCTGAATCATTCGACATTTGAATCATTCAGCATTTAATCATTCTTAAGTAAACAAACAACTCCAATCGGCGAAAAAAGGATTTACTGCAACGGAATCCAATTAGACAATGAAAGTTTTCCTCGTCAAAAGAAGAGGAGATGTCCCCAGGCCAGATTCAAAGCCATCATTATAACCAAACATAATAAACCACACTCACCACAAAGCTAACCGAAGTAAGACCATCTCGTTTGATGTACGAAATCTGGGAACTTGGAACCCAGGCTTGAATCATACATATCAAAGACTGGAACTGATTCAAACTCAGTGAGTCACCCACGAACATGATCTTCTTCCCCCTCCATTTCCTCAAAAAATACACCTATTGAACCTACAAACTTCAAAAAATAAACCCCATTTTCATCATAGTTATGCACGTAATGAATGGTGATAATCTGACCTGAGGAGACTGCAGGAGAAGGGCTGCCATCGGTACTTGAGATAACTGGCGTCGGGTCGTCCATATTTTTGGCAGTCGAACTCGGGGTTGATGAAGGGACATTTGAAAGGGTCGTATATAGGATATGAAAGGTCGTAAACCCATTTCCCTCGGAACCAGTTGCAGTTCGAAGCTAAGCTTCTGGTTCTGTTGTTGGCATTGAAATCCTCAGCTTTTGTTGGTGAGTGCTGTAAAAACAACAAACACAGAGATAAGAAGAGTTGTTTCCACCCTAAACCCATACCAATTGGGGTTGGCTTAATTTGCTGCTTTCACTGTTAAAGGGACTAGCTGTGAATCAAAAGTATTGTCCATCACTGCTTATATAAAGAGGGGGTAAAAGAGTAACAAAGTTGGAAAAAGTTTCACATGGAAGTGCAACCTAACTCATTGTTATCTAAGATAAGTTTTTTTTAATTTTCAATTCTTTTATTTATTAATCGATTAATTCATATCAAATAAATAAATGATTGTTGTTCCAATGTGGTGTGGGGTTGGGATGCAATCACTTACAAAAATCAGGAGAATGGCATAATGGGATTCGTTATTATACAAATAATAGAAACACTTTTTCCCTACCATTGGAGACAACAATACAATATTACTCAACTTTGCTTTCAAAGCTTTCCTTTTCTCCCAACTTGATGACTCAAATACACTTTTATTATCTTTCATTCTTCTCGTATCTTTAAGAAATAATCATTTGAAGAAAAAAATCAAAATCAAAATTCTTAGATTTATATTATTCTATATATTTTTATATAACATAATATTGAGTGAACTACAGGTTTAGTACCTAAACTATTATTTTTATTCCGTTTTGATACTTAAACTTTATTTTTTAAAAACAATACCTAACATTTAGTTTAGGTTTCAATTTGGTACACTTTCGTTAAAACATTGCCATAATTACTGACGTGAAATTTTTATATTTTCAATGATGATTTGGTATTATCTTATGGTGATACGTCAACATCACCGTTAATTTTTTAACAACCGAAGTACTAAATTGAAGCCTAAACTAAACGTTGAGTATGAATTTTAAAAAAAAAATAAAGTTTATGTACCAAAACAGAACAAAGATAATAGTTGATATACTAATTGTGTAGTTTACCCTACAATCTTTAACCTTTAAATTTAGCATTTTTTAATTTAATTTTTAAATATTTTGTCACGTTATTTTTTAAAATGTGATAATTTTTATTATTTTAATTTCTTTTATTGATTTCGTACAATCTTATAAAATCAAATCACGAAAATAATAATAATAAACCAAATTCAAGAGTTGACGTCAATAAAGAAAAATTAGAGACCAAGATGAAAAACTATTAAATTTAAAATTTAAAGAATAAAAATTACCTTTTAGATTCAAATAATATTATAGGGAAAATCAGTCATATCCTATCATAATTTATTATTTATTTAACATTTCAAACTATTCAAATTCTTTCTTATTCCTATAAAAATTATGGTTTGAATTCAAATCATAAAAAATTATCTTAAATTATGATTTTATACCTGTATACATCTCATTATTAAATGTTCAATTTAATGGAAAAATTTAATTTTAAAGAAAAGAAAAGTGCAAAGGATATGAGCTGGTTGGGTTTTACACAATTGATTATGTCTTCATATCAACTTTATGATGATTAAATTGGTAGCTTTTGTTTACCATAAAAGAAGAAAATGTTTGTTCAAATATATATACTGATTTTTTTTTATTAAAATACAAAATTAAATATCTCTTTTTTCTATTTGCGTAAGAATTAAAGTTATTAAAAGATTTGACAATGGTGCTTTAACGGATATGCATCTTACGTAAACATTGAAGTTATTGAAGATTTAAAGACCAATTTTGAATAAATTTGGATTAAGGAGGAGATTTTTTATATTTTGACCCAAATTATAATTGATAATTAAGTTGGATTTTATTGTAATTCTAGTAGTTGAAGATTATTTGATGATTAAATTTATTTAAAAAAGTAAATATTTATTTTTGACATTAATTCTTAAGGAATAAGAATTATTGGTGACCTAGTATTTGACTCTATAAATATATATAATGTCTTAACCTTTAGAATTATGTGTGAGATAATTATTTTGGAGAAATATAATATTTTTTGGATATCTACAACTTTTGAATTTATTTTGCAGAGATAGTTTGGTAGGAATATTGAGAGTTATTGGATACAGAGGGTTTTGATATCTATATGAAGTTTTGGGATACATGTGATATCATGTACCTATACTCTTATTGTTCTCTGCATTTATATAGTAAATTATTATTTATCTCGCCTGTGAAGGTAGGCAAGACTGAACTACGTTAAATCTCGTCTTTTGTGCATGCCTTATTTTATGTTGATATCGTTTTGGTTATTTTTTTGCTCCTCAATTCCTAATAATTTGATCTCATGTTGTGGTTCGTTTTATCGATGCAAAAATATATTTTTGTATTTATCTTTTGTTCAAATTATTTTAGAAGATTTGTTAATATTTATCTTTTATTCAAAAAAAATTAGAAGATTTATTAACATTTTCCTTGTTTAGTCCTTATATGATCTCAAATGGTTAGTTTTCTTTCAATAGTTATAAGAAAATGTTGTACTTATGTATTTAGTTTAAGTTTATACTTGTAAATTTACATTATAATTTAGGTGTTTTTTCTTTGTAATAAAAGTAGTTATATATGTTAGAATTTATGAAGCTCAATTGACAACCGAAAAAGTTTGCCAATAGGGGGTGAATTGGCTTTTTGAGAATTTTAGGGAGTAAGGAGAATTAAAGGGATATAAAATTGTTGCACAAGGATTTATAGTGGTTCGACTTTCTCAACTAAAGTCTACATCTACTACCTAAGCTCCTCACTTAGGATTTTTCAACAAATCTACTAATTTGTTCTTTCTTTTTCAAGGACAAAGATATAACCTTTACAAACTCCCTAGCTTTTCAAAGGCTTAGCTAGAACCAAAAACCCCTTTTCAAAAGGATAAAATAAGTAAACAATAAAACATCTACAAGGCAGGGTGTTTACAAATTAAAGCTCACAAAACACAATATTTACAAGAGAAATAAAATAAAGAGTGAAAAAGTTGTTCTCTTGTGTTTGATTTTTTGGATAGGTGTTCTAACTCCTATTCAAGTGTCTTGAACTTGTATTTATATGTTGGAATGAGTTTGTGTCTGTTTCTAGCCGTTAGGAGTGATTTGGAGTCGTTGGGGATATTTTCTCTGCAAAATAAAACTTCATAGGACAGAGGGTATCGCTACTCCTATAGGGAGTATCAGACTACCTTTGTAATATTTAAATAAAATTAGTTGTTACTAGCAGTTGGTCCTGACGGTATCGATACTATCCTTCACTGTATTGATACTACTATGTAAAGTAGTATCGGTACCTATTTTGTATTATGGAATTTGAGCAAACTGATACTATCGGTACTACCTAAAGAGTATCAATATTTCTCTTACCTTTGGTATCGGTACCATATAAACAGTATCGATATTGTTCATATAGTATCAATATTGTAAGAACATTATTGGTACTACGTACGTTGAAAATTAGTTTTGTGCTCAAATTCACTTTTAATGGACTTTGAATTATTTTTGAAAACTTTGAATAAATTCAATTCAAGTCCAAAAACATTTTGCCTTAATTTGTTATATCAAAATATTATAAAACATGGTTCAACAATCTCCCCATTTTTTATAAAACAAAATATTTGAAAATTTATTTTGGGTAAAACACACCCTTAATAAAATATTTAATGAAAAAGATATATATTTTAGAAAATGTTAAAGCTCCCCATTTTTCATTGAGAAATTGAATTTTTCAAACCATATTTCTCCCACTTTTTGTTATATATAAAATAATTCAACTTAAAGTTCAAAAATAACATTAGAGAGTAAGTGGTAAATTTGACATTAAAAACATTTGAAAAAGCAAAACTCCCCTTAATAAATGCATTCCAAACAAATATTTGACTTTTAAAATCATAACACTTAAAATACATTGAATTTCAACAAAAATGAACAAACATGTTATAGCATATGAAATTCAATATATATATCCAAGTCTAATAAAATTTATGCAATACCAATTGTTGAAATTAAGTGCATATACATAAAGTTATCCAAAAATGATATGCATAAAAAAATTGATATCAATTGTTAGAGAGATATCATTTGAAATAAGTCACATACATAAACATTTAAAATTAAGGTCAAAAATTAAAATTTGAAAAAGTAAAGCATTTGAAAAATTGATATTAATTGTTAGAGAGATATATTTTGCATTCAAAACCAATTTTAACCAAAATTAATTATGATGAACTAAAAGTTATGAAAAAATATTAAAGCTTTAAAGTGTTCATCATAACACCTTTTTAACATACATAAAATATAAAAACATAAAATCATTTAAAATCAAAACTCATGTATGCTTAAAACTAAATGAGCAACCAATTAATCAATACAAATGCATTAAGCTTAGAGGTTGCCCATTCATTTTCAAGTGTGGCTAAAGCATTTGAATATCTTCATTTTCATCACCATTGCTCTCACATACCTACAAGAGACATTTAAGTAGATTTTGATATCCAAATTGCTTTGAATCCTTAAACATTAGTTTCGATCCTTGAACTTTAGTTTCAATGCTCATTGTTCCCTTAGGAACCCATACTTGTCTAATTTTAAAAGATTTTCTTTTCTTTATGGGACAAGTATGTTCCAAATGACAATGAAAATGGCAACGTGAACATTTTGTCATTTTTAAACATAATGAGTTGTTTTTAGAAATTAATTCTTTTTCTTTTGTTAAGCTCTCAAGCTTAACTTTCAAATCAAAATTTTTCTTTTTCTAAATCATTAATTTTGACTTTTAAAAACTCTAAATCATTTTTCAAAGATTCATTTTGTTTTTCAAAATCAACTTTTACTTTCAAGACCAAATCATTTTCAACTTTATGTTTTGAAATTAATTTCTTATATTTGGGATTCATGGTCTCAAATTCCAAATACAACTCATCATAGACAACTTGTAACTCATCAAACGAATAAGAATTTAATTCACCAAAGTTCGAAGTTACCATTAAATCTTCATTGATGTCCATAAGATATAGGTTGGCTACTTCATCTTCATCATTGGAGTCATCTTCATCATTGGAGTCATCTTCATCACTCCAAGCTGCCACAAATGCCTTCTTCTTATTTGATCACTTCTTCTTTAGGAGGGGACATTCATACTTGACATGCCCCGTTCTTTGACAATTGAAGCACACTGGGGGACTCTTCTTTTTGCTCTATTCATGTTTCACTTCCTTAGAAGTCATGAATCTCTTGAATCTTTTGAAGAGCTTGGTCTTCTCTTCTTCTTCTTCATCGTCGTCATCTACCTCTTCATTTGTATCTTGATTGCTCTCATTGGTGGATTTGAAGGAAATGACTACCTCATTCTTCTTGTTCTTCATCATATTCTTCTTCCTTTACCAACTCATGAGTGAGAAGAGAACCGATAAGCTCATCAAGAGTAAGTGACTTAAGATTCTTATCTTCGATAATCGTCGTCTTCTTTGATTGCCAAGACTTTGGAAGAGAGTATATCATCCTTATCACAAACTTCTCATTAGGGATTACTTCTCCAAATCCCTTGATACCGTTGATAATCATGGAAAATATATTCGTCATAGCTTTGGTGTCTTCATCCGATTTCATCTTAAAATTCTCATAGTTGTGGTTAAGAAGATTGATTTTGGTTTCCTCACTTCATTGGTTCCTTCATTAGTGACTTGGAGCTTGTCCCAAATCTCTTTGGCATTAGAACAAAAGGAGACTCTTCCGTATTCATTTGGGCCTAATGCACAAAAGAGGATGTGCATAGCCTTAGCATTGAGTTGGAACTGCTTCTTCCCTCTATCACCCAAAGCATCCATCTCACCGATTGGAATGGAGTATCCTCTTATGATAGAGTTTCAAGCTCCTAGATAGTTAGCTTGAATGAAGAGCATAATCATATTCTTCCAATAGACATAGTTTGCTCCATTGAAATAAGGTGGCTTGTTAACCGATTGAGAGTCTTCAATATAGTAGGAGTTGGATGTCGAACCTATCTTTTTATCAGTTGTGTGGAAAATCGATAGAGCTTCTTTAAGGACCGTCTCAAGGATGTGAAGTCCTCTAAAGAGTCAAGCTCTGATACCAATTGTTAGGATTTATGAAGCTCAATTGACAACCGAAAAAGTTTGCCAAGAGGGGGTTAATTGGCTTTTTGAGAATTTTAGGGAGTAAGAAGAATTAAAGGGATAGAAAATTGTTGCACAAGGATTTATAGTGGTTCAACTTTCTCAATCAAAGTTTACATCCACTACCTAAGCTCCACAATTATGATTTTTCAAGAAATCCACTAATTTGTTCTTTCTTTTTCAAGGATAAAAAGATAACTTTTACAAACTCTCTAGCTTTTCAAAGGCTTAGGTAGAACCAAAAACCCCCTTTTCAAAATGATAAAATAAGTAAACAATAAAATCTCTACAAGGTATGATGTTTATAAATTAAAGATCACAAAACACAATATTTACAAGAGAAATAAAATAAAGAGTGAAAAAGCTTTTCTCTTGTATTTGATTGCTTGGATATGTGTTCTAACCCCTCTTCAAGTGTCTTGAACTTGTATTTATATATTGAAATGAGTTTGTGGCAGTTTCTAGCCATTGGGAGTGATTTGGAGCCGTTGTGAATGTTTTCTCTACAAAATAAATATGTTCATGACAGATGGTATCTGTACTCCTATAGGGAGTATCGATACTACTTTTGTAATATTTAAATAAAACTAGTCATTACTAGCCATTGGATCTGACGGTATTGATACTATTCTTCATGGTATCGATACTACTAACTAAATTAATATTGATACACCTTTGGGTATCGGTACATATTTTGCATTATGATTTGAGCAAGCTGGTAGTATCGATACTACCTAGAGAGTATCGATACTTCTTTTACCTTTGGTATCGATACCATATGAACAATATCGATATTGTTCATATAATATTGATACTATAAGAACAATATCGGTACTACATACATTGAAAATCATTTTTGTGCTCAAATTCACTTTTAATAGACTTTGAACTATTTTTGAAATCTTTGAATAAATTCAATTCAAGTCCAAAAACATTTTACCTTAATTTGTCATATTAAAATATTATAAAACATTGTTCAACAATATATTTCAACAAGAAATAGATTTTTCAAGCACGAACCAACTTACCTCAGTGGTTAAAGGAATCATTGATGTTCTTAGAAATCATGAGTTTAAACATTAATGACTGTAAAAGTAATTGAAGGTTATTATCAAACGATGAGAGAGTATTTAAAAATGTAATTATCTTTAGCTTAGTACAAAAACGGAAATAGATTTTTCAAGAATAATGAACGGTTGGCGGCAATGATTTCGGCAAATAGTGTTAAGAATTAGCGTGTAAATATATTGACTTCATCAGAATATGACAGTTGCAAATATTTCAGCTTTCTCAAAAGTTTGAGAATTAAAATTTATTAAAATAGTTTAGTCGATTACAAAAGTAATATATGTTTATAATTTTTTAATCATCGATAATGTACATACACATTGATGTAATTGTTTAAAATTATAATTTTTATGAAGAATAATATTTTTTTAACCTCTAAGATCATTAATGGGTTCAAAGTTTGAGAATAAAATTTATTATATATTATAGTTTATTTGTATAATTAGTAATTTAGTATTTTCACCCTATTTTCTCATTTCTAATTATTTACTTTATTTTTATATATTATATAGTAATTTATTTCAAATGTACAGCTAGCTTAGGACTCATTTGTGAGGTCAATTAATACAGCCAAAAGCTATATAATATATAAAATGTAACACCCTAATTCATGAAGTATAATTTTCAACTACCCAATAATAAATCATATCTATGGTATCATAGTGGCCTAGTGGGTCATGTAAATTAGATTTGTTTTGTCTGATCAGTACATGCCCCTAGACTACAATCGTATATCTTTGAGCTGAAATTCTAAGGTTGAGTCTCTATCTGTAATGAGCAAACCTAAGTTTTCATCCGTTAGGACTATCATTTTATAAAGGAATACCAGTAATGATTGTCTAAATTCTGTAAAGTATCACACGAGCCATGTAAGAGTTACTCATTTGAGAAATTTTGACCCGACACCGGAAATAAAATTGGGATATGTTACTGCTCTATGAAGCTTATTCTCGTAACCAAGGCTGAATTATTTTCGCAAAGATAAATTTGTTCTGATTATTTTATTGGACTGAAGAAGAGTTCTGATAAGAATGTAAAATCAATTGGTAAAGGATTGTAGATGACTCGTATTTCTGTAAAAGTTACTTAAAGATATGAAAGAATTGATGGAATTTTCATTTTTGAAATTCTGTGACATGAATGAATTTCGAAGACGAAATTCTTTTAAGGAGGGTAAAATTATAACACCCTAATTCATGAAGTATAATTTTCAACTACCAATAATAAATCATATCTTATGGTATCATAATAGCCTAGTAGGTCCTGCAAATTAGATTTGTTTTGTCTATAATCTTCTTCGTTATCTCATAAAATAGTAGTACCAATCTTTTATATTAGAGAGCATTAATAAACAACCAAAGCCACATACATCCCTTGCTCGATAGCTTCACCATCGTGAGTAGCTTGCTTGCTTTCTTATGGCAACAAATCAACTACCAGAACTGTCATGGGAGGAACTGCTCGGTAGAAAAAAAATAAACTGAAACTCGTAAACCCGACCCAACCATCCAATCGTTCTTGTACTAACGTTCCAATGAAAACCCCATTAAGCCGAGTGATCGATGACAAGAAGCACATATATCGAAAGTAACACCGTCCAACGATGGATGAAGAGGATCGGAGTGGTTGAAGCTCATGAAGATCAAAATTTCTTTTGTAGATCTACGACTATCCACGGGGTTTCTCGACTATCGAAGGTCGGATTCTTGATGTGGAGACCAAGATGTTTTGGATGATAAAGTTTGGGCTTAGACCGACGATCAACGACGAAGGCCGACATGGTGGTTATCGGAGTTTGGTGGTCGGCCGACGAAGCTTTTCTACCTTCCTACAGAGTCTTTCGTTGGTAAAAAGTAAAAGGAAATGAAATTTTAAATAAATGAGAAATGCAGGGAGATTTTTAGCTTATAAATGGATATATACATATTAACCAAAACTACGTAGTTTTGGAAATAGTTTGGGAGCTTGATATGAATGCATTTTAAAGATTCTGACGGTGGAACACTACTCTTGGCAACGGGTAAATTACAAGGTAAGTCATCCAAGTTGTTAAAAGCTTAATCTTGTCTCTTAGCTTTCATATTATTATGATTATGGTGTAATGGTTTTATTAAGATCGATTTAGTCCCTAATTGTATTAATTAAAAAAATTCTATTGATTCCTAAAGTTTTTAGTTTTAACAATTGGGTCCCCAAATCAGTAATTAGATTCTAATAAGTTATTTTTATGGCGAGGAAAATTATTTGAAGTCGTATTTGTACGATAGATTGTCCGAGTTCGTTAGAAAAGATTGAAAGCTAGAAATAAAGTTGGTGAGCTGGAATTAAATAGTAAAATTTTGGGTTTTGTTGACGTCTTGAGTCCGATTCCGAAGTCCGTTTCGCTCAATTCGAACCCGATAAATTGTTTTTGACTGATTTATCACCCGATTCGATCCGTTTTTTGGAATTAAGTTATTTTTTTGATGGAATTTATATTGTTATGTATCTGAGAAATTATTGAAAGATGATTTCAAGATCGAGGGCGTTCGAATGGAATTTAATGGTTGATCAGTATGGCACGAAAATCGATATAATACATTACTACCTCTTTATGCTTTATAGTACATGTTGGTATTGGTAAATGCATAAATTGAAATGTTTGGTCTCATATGTGTAAGTAATGAAGTTCTACACTCGATACGAATGCGGTAGGAAGTAGGTAACTGAATATGACTCAGATGACTATTATAAAAAATTGGAGGACACTTAGAATTAAATTACAAGTTCTGGAATTAAGTGCTAAAGGAATCAACCATGGATATGTAGATTATAATTTATCTCATTAAAGGTACTTAGATGATAAATTATGAGAATATTTCGATTAGGTAAAATTATGAAATTACCCTTATGTTGGAAAATGACAAGAATTATCTCTGTAAGTGGATTAATAAATCTGAAAAGACATTGATCTGATAAAACTATTGATGTGCATAAGAAATATTAGTTTTACTTGGAAATTCTGGATAACTGGTTTTTTTAACCCCAAGAGGGTTTATGCAAGATAGTAGAAGTCTGTTAAGGAATCATTTCAAGATCATAGAATGTTCGAGGAAGGAATTAACCATAGGATCTCTAAATTATAAGTAAGTTCGTTAAGATTTAATACCGAAGTTATCTGGTTAAGAAATTATGAAATGCCCTTGAGAGGTAAAAATAGTCCGAGTTAACCTGAATGAGAAAGTACTTTGCGAATTCGTACTTAACTCAATAAATTACGGTTTTAGTTGTTAAGATCCTATCTTTATACAGAAAAATTCATGATATTCCGTTTGTAAAATATGAGAAGGCACTTGACCCGAAAATATCCGAGTTATAAGTAAATACCTAAAGAATAATTTATCGCAGGGTGCTCTTTTATCAGAATTATTCGAAAGGACTGGAATAGATGATAAATTGGAATTAAATAATAAGACCGGATGAAGGGAAAAGATTGAAATACCGTATATCTTTAAAATGACCAAAATACCCCTATAATAGAAATGACCCAAGAATATCACCTAGCTCAAGAATGATTGGATATCCTCGAGCTCTGAAATGAATAGAATAAGACTGAGCATCAAAATGACCAAAATACCCTTATGACCTAGAATAAGTAAATGTCTTGGATTAATTAAGTAATCCAAATAAGCATTGATGTTGGACTACCTTTAAAAGTTATGGAACACATCTTAAGTGAGTTGATTAATCGTAATGATATGTCAGTACCTGGAAGACATAGATATTACTTGAATGCGTATTCGTCTTCTCAAGTGTGGTTTGATGATAATTTTAGAAGTATTCAGCTCAGCTAAACTCTAGATCGCATTCAATATTAAGAAGTGGATATTCATTAGACAAATCAACTACGACTACCAAATTGAATTGAACGAAAGTGCAATATGTATCTGAAAATGAAATTCAGAAGTCTAAATTACTATGGAAAACCTTGAAGTAACTGTAAATGACTTAACTGCTAAATGAACTAAGTAAGAGATTGGAATAAGTTTGAAAACTCGGATGAACTTATATGATGTATTATCCCTATGGATTATAAACCACAAATCAAGTATGTCAGCAATTCCTGGTATAGTTGAAACATGGAAATGAAATAAAGTCCATTAGAATATTTATTTGTCTCCTTAAGATCTATTCAGTGATGATTCAGAAGATGATCTGTGGATAAGAATATTTGGTATTAAAGAGTAAATACCCTGGGAAGGTTAATGAATTGACAAGTTGATAATTATTGGTTCTGGGAGCTATTCATATGGAGTTGTTCGATAATCAGATTAATCGTCATAGATTGTAAAGATTCTGAATACCTTCAGATTTCGTAAAGCTTCAGAAAAGTGTCCGAATAAGATGATCCCGATAAATCATATCCTGAATAACTGATGATTCTGTCAGTTAATGAAATTTTCAAATAGTGGTTCTAACTTCTGACATTATATCGGTAAACTTAAGATTCGTGTCTCTCTACCCGATAAGATTATACAGTATCTCTGAATAATATTTGTAAACTCTGGTGTGTTTCCTAATCATATAAATATTTTATCTGATTTCTGACTTGAATTCTGTTCTGATACATGGCCTGAATTCTGTTCTGATTTGAATTCTGTTCTGATATATGTTCTGAATTCTGTTTTGATTTATGATATCTCCGTTTAATGACGGAAAAATATTTTAATTGGGGGGTATAATTGAAGGAAGTATTTTCGCAGGTTCTTCGACTTTGTGCTCAGGGCCTTACAAGTTGTGTGGGTTGGGTGTATGGTTTTGGGGAACCTACACATTATGTTGTATTGGGATGGGGGTATACATATATATGTTTTAAAAAGATATGAAAAGTTACATGGTTTTTGGGAACACACTAGATAACTTATTCTAATCTCCTGAACTCGTTCATCTGAAATATTTCTCTGAAATGAAAACTCATTGTTCGTTACCACCTGAAATATCAGTAGGATCTCTGCTCAGCATAAAAATTTGTAAATATTCAGAAACAATAAGGAAATATATATTTATCTATATCTGCACGTTCATCAGCATCATCTGGTAGTTCTGTATTACTGAACTTTCCTAAGCTCACTCTGTTACTCATCTTTTCAGTCTAAAAGAATTGTACTAGTGCATCTATCGACTTCAGTAAGAGAGTTCTTTCGGTGCTATTTGTATAGTACGGTATATGTGATTAGGGGACATGTAATTGTATTTTGTTTTATATACGAGTCTGAAAATATGTTTTATTTTGAATATTGATAACTTTTATTTTGTACTCATAAATGATTTTATGAGTTTACAAGTTTTAAGAAAAGTTTTAAAATTTTCGCTATTTTTACAGTGGGTCGCTCCGGTGGCCCTAATGTGACACTCCAGATCGGATCGGGTTATCTGCATCGGTCTGAGGGGGTTACATTTAGTGGTATCAGAGCTTTGGTTTGAGTCAAAATTTTCAAGATAGACCGGCCGGTCGAATTTCAAAATGATGTCTAATCAGTACATGCCCCTAGACTACAATTGTACATCTCTGAGCTGAAATTCCATGGTTGAGTCTCTATCTATAATGAGCAGTCCTAAGTTTTCATCCGTTAGGACTCTATCATTTTATAAATGAATACCAGTAATGACTGTCTAAATTCTGTAAAGTACCACACGAGCCATGTAAGAGTTACTCATCTAAGAAATTCTGACCCGACTCCGAAAATGAAATTGAGATATGTTACCGCTCTATGAAGCCTATTCTCGTAACCAATGTTGAATTATTTTCGCAAGGATAAATTTGTTCTGATTATTTTATTGGACTGAAGACGAGTTATGATAAGAATGTAAAATCAATTGGTAAAGGATTGTAGAGGACTCGTATTTCTGTAAAAGTTACTTAAAGATATGGAAGAACTGATGGAATTTTCATTTATGAAATTCTGTGACATGAATGAATTTCGAGGACGAAATTCTTTTAAGGAGGGTAGAATTGTAACACCCTAATTCATGAAGTATAATTTTCAACTACCCAATAATAAATCATATCTTATGGTATCATAGTGGCCTAGTGGGTCCTGCAAATTAGATTTGTTTTGTCTATAATCTTCTTCGTTATCTCATAAAATAGTAGTACCAATCTTTTATATTAGAGAGCATTAATAAATAACCAAAGCCACATACATCCCTTGCTCGATAGCTTAACCATCATGAGTAGCTTGCTTGCTTTCTTATGGTAACAAATCAACTACCAGAACTGTCATGGGAGGAACTGCTCGGTAGAAAAAAAATAAACTGAAACTCGTAAACCCGACCCAACCATCCTATCGTTCTTGTACTAACGTTCCAATGAAAACCCCATTAAGCCGAGTGATCAATGACAAGAAGCACATATATCGAAAGTAACACCGTCCAACGATGGATGAAGAGGATCGGAGTGGTTGAAGCTCATGAAGATCAAAATTTCTTTTGTAGATCTACGACTATCCACGAGGTTTCTCGACTATCGAAGGTCAGATTCTTGATGTGGAGACCAAGATGTTTTGGATGATAAAGTTTGGGCTTAGACCGACGATCAACGACGATGGCCGACATGGTGGTTATCGGAGTTTGGTGGTTGGCCGATGATGCTTTTCTACCTTCCTACAGAGTCTTTCGTTGGTAAAAAGTAAAAGAAAATGAAATTTTAAATAAATGAGAAATGCAGGGAGATTTTTGGCTTATAAATGGATATTTACGTATTAACCAAAACTACGTAGTTTTGGAAATAGTTTGGGAGCTTGATATGAATGCATTTTAAAGATTCTGACGGTGGAACACTACTCTTGGCAACGGGTAAATTACAAGGTAAGTCATCCAAGTTGTTAAAAGCTTAATCTTGTCTCTTAGCTTTCATATTATTATGATTATGGTGTAATGGTTTTATTAAGATCGATTTAGTCCCTAATTGTATTAATTAAAAAAATTCTATTGATTCCTAAAGTTTTTAGTTTTAACAATTGGGTCCCCAAATCAGTAATTAGATTCTAATAAGTTATTTTTATGACGAGGAAAATTATTTGAAGTCGTATTTGTACGATAGATTGTCCGTGTTCGTTAGAAAAGATTGGAAGCTAGAAATAAAGTTGGTGAGCTGGAATTAAATAGTAAAATTTTGGGTTTTGTTGACGTCCTGAGTCCGATTCTGAAGTCCGTTTCGCTAAATTCGAACCCAGTAAGTTGTTTTTGACTGATTTATCACCCGATTCGATCCATTTTTCGGAATTAAGTTCTTTTTTTGATGGAATTTATATTGTTATGTATATGAGGAATTATTGAAAGATGATTTCAAGATTGAGGGCGTTCGAATGGAATTTAATGGTTGATCAGTATGGCACGAAAATCGAGATAATACATTACTACCTCTTTATGCTTTATAGAACATGTTGGTATTGGTAAATGCATAAATTGAAATGTTTGGTCTCATATGTGTAAGTAATGAAGTTCTACACTCGATACGAATGCGGTAGGAAGTAGGTAACTGAATATGGCTCAGATGACTATTATAAGAAATTGGAGGACACTTAGAATTAAATTACAAGTTCTGGAATTAAGTGATAAAGGAATCAACCATGGATATGTAGATTATAATTTATCTCATTAAAGGTACTTAAATGATAAATTATGAGAATATTTTGATTAGGTAAAATTATGAAATTACCCTTATGTTGGAAAATGATAAGAATTGTCCCTGGAAATGGATTAATAAATCTGAAAAGACATATTGATATGATAAAACTATTGATGTGCATAAGAAATATTAGTTTTACTTGGAAATTCTGGATAACCCCAAGAGGGTTTATGCAAGATACTAGAAGTCTATTAAGGAATCATTTCAAGATCAAAGAATGTTCGAGGAAGCAATTAACCATAGGATCTCTAAATTATAAGTATGTTCGTTAAGAGTTAATATCGAAGTTATCTGGTTAAGAAATTATGAAAATGCCCTTGAGAGGTAAAAATAGTCCGAGTTGACCTGAATGAGAAAGTACTTTGAGGATTCGTACTTAACTCGATAAATTACGGATTTGGTTGTAAAGATCATGTCTTTGTACAGAAAAATTCATGATATTCCGTTTGTAAAATCTGAGAATGCATTTGATCCGAAAATATCCTAGTTATGAGTAAATACCTGAAGAACAATTTATCGGATGGTGCTCTTTTATCAGAATTGTTCAAAAGGACTGGAATAGATGATAAATTGGAATTAAATAATAAGATCGGATGGAGGGAAAAGATTGAAATACTATAGATCTATAAAATGACCAAAATACCCCTGTAATGGAAATAACCCAAGAATATCACCAAGCTTAAGAATGATTGGATATCCTCGAGCTCTGAAATGATTGGAATAAGATTGAGTATCAAAATGACCAAAATACCCTTATGATATAGAATAAGTAAATGTCTTGGATTAATTAGGTAATCCAAATAAGCATAGGTGTTGGACTACCTTTAAAAGTGATGGAGCACAGCTTAAGTGAGTTGATCAATTGTAATTATATGTCAATACCTGGACGACATAGATATTACTTGAATGCGTGTTCGTCTTCTCAAGTGTGGCTTGATTATAATTTTGGAAGTATTCAGCTCAGCTAAACTCTAGATCACATTCATTATTAAGAAGTGGATATTCATTAGACAAATCAACTACGACAACCAAATTGAATTGAACAAAAGTGCAATATGTATCTGAAACTGAAATTCAGAAGTCTGAATTACTATAGAAAACCCTGAAGTAACTGTAAAGGACTTGACTGCTAAATGAACTAAGTAAGAGATTGGAATAAGTTTAAAAACTCGGATGAACTTATATGATGTATTATCCCTATAAATTATGAACCACAAATCAAGTACGTCAGCATTTCTTGGTATAATTGAAACATGGAAATGAAATAAAGACCATTAGAATATTTGTTTGTCTCTTTAAAGTCTATTCAGTGATGATTCAGAAGATGATCTGTGGATAATAATATTTGGTATTAAAGAGTAAATACCCTGGGAAGGTTAATGAATTGACAAGTTGATAAGTATTGGTTCTGGAGCTATTCATCTGGAGTTGTTCGATAATCAGATTAATCGTCATAGATTGTAAAGATTCTGAATACCTTCAGATTTCGTAGAGCTTCAGAAAAGTGTCCGAATAAGATGATCCCGATAAAGCATATCCTGAATAACTGATGATTCTGTCAGTTAATGAACTTTTCAAATAGTGATTCTAACTTCCGACATTCTATCGGTAAACTGAATATTCGTGTCTCTCTACCCGATAAGATTATCCAGTATCTCTGAATAATATCTGTAAATTCTGGTGTGTTTCCTAATCATATAAATATTTTATCTGATTTCCGACTTGAATTCTGTTCTGATACATGACCTGAATTTTGTTCTGATTTCTGATTTGGATTCTATTATGATATATGTTCTGAATTCTGTTTTGATTTCTCATATCTCCGTTTAATGACGGAAAAATGTTTTAATTGGGGGGTATTGTTGAAGGAAGTATTTTCGCAGGTTCCTCGACTTTGTGCTCAGGGCCTTACAAGTTGTGTGGGTTGGGTGTATGGTTATGGGGAACCTATACATTATGTTGTGTTGGGATGGGGGTATACATATATATGTTTTAAAAAGATATGAAAAGTTATATGGATTTTGGGAACACACTAGATAACCTATTTTGATCTCCTGAACTCAGTCATCCGAAATATTTCTCTGTACTGAAAACTCATTGTCCGTTACCACCTGAAATATCAGTAGGATCTCTGCTCAACATAAAAATCTGTAAATGTTTGGAAACAATAAGGAAATATATATTTATCTGTATCTGCACATTCATCAGCATCATCTGGTAGTTCTGTATTATTGAGCTTTCCAAAGCTCACTCTGTTACTCATCTTTTCAGGCAAAAAGAATTGTACCAGTGCAGCTATTGACTTCAGTAAGGGAGTTCTTCCGGTGCTGTTTGCAGAGTACGATATATGTGATTAGGAGTCATGTAATTGTATTTTGTTTTATATACGAGTATGAAAATATGTTTTATTTTGAATATTGATAACTTTTATTTTGTACTCATAAATGATTTTATGAGTTTACAAGTTTTAAGAAAAGTTTTAAATTTTCCGCTATTTTTACAGTGGGTCGCTCCGATGGCCCTAATGTGACACTCCAGATCGGATCGAATTATCTGCATCGGTTTGAGGGGTTACATAAAATATAATACGGCCAATTATATTGTGTATTCAATTTACTTTATTTTATATATTATATTATATAGTAATTTATTTCAAATAATGCATCTGATTCCTTTTAATTATATGTATATAACCAAATTTTATATTTGAGTAAACTATATTAATGAAGACTTAATTATAAGATGTTTTTAATTTGATCATTGATCTATTAATTTTTTTTAATTAAGTCACTTGTCGTAACATTTGATGGAGGAGAGGAGCTTATTACATATTTTATCAATTTGGTGCTGAAATTGATTTAATTTAATAAATTTAATCATCTAATCAAATGATAACACATGTCACTATAAATTGTAGAATAATAATTTCGAGGGGAATTAAATTTATTGAAATAAATTAAAATTATGACCAAATTGATTGAATGTATAAGTAATAAGGATTAAATATATAATTATATAATTTCTTTAATTGTCACATCAACACAAGTAACTTGATCAATAATATTTAAATAATTAAATTGTCATATAGATTAATTTAGAAAATCGATAATCAAAATAAAATTTGGTCATAGATGTAATTTACCCATAACAAATTTTGAAATATTTAACGGACGAAAAGAAAAAATATTTACCCAAATTAATTTATTTTATATAGTGACAAATGCTCTCCCCCATGTGTTCTCTCGTCTATACGGTATCCCTACATATATAACCATTATACTAATTTACATATATTGAGTTTGCTTTAATTTATGAAACAAAACTCTTCAGTCTTCTCAATTTGCAGAGCAAATGTGATGTGAGGGATGGGCATGGGTTGGGTCAGATTTTTTGTCTATCCAACTCGACCCGAGAACAAAAAATCCTCCACCCAAGACTCAATTTGATCCGACCAAAACAAATTTTCACCCGACCCTACCCGAAATAATAAAAATTATTTTTATTTAATAAAAACAGTGACTTAATTGAAAAAAATAATATATAGAGTAATATTATTGTAATTATTACTAAATATATAAAGTAAAATTATTTATTTTGTTCGAGTCGAGTATTTTTCACCCTAAACTCGAACCCGAGCATTACATTTAAAAAAATCCGACCGAACCCGATTTTTTTTTAAAAAAAATCCGACCTGATCGGGTCGGAAGCCGTCGGGTTCAGTCCCATGCCCATCCCTAGATGTGAAGCAAGCTATAGAGTTAAAACAGTGGATTTCTTGTGCTCAACTTGTTAGCTTTCCTTCTTTATGATGTTACCCAATACAAATCATAAACAAACATCATATGGTCTTCACCACACCCTCAATTCTTCATACTATAGAATCTCTTAATGACGCTATAAAAGGAAGTCATCAAAGGTTTTCCGATTCGAAGTTCAAACTCGTAGATGCTTTTGGTTTTAATGAAAATACTCAATCATGTTGCTGAGGCACCGTTGCAGTCATGGTCATATGCCTGGGATCAGTAAGCATTGATTTTACATTGACAAAGCCAGCTTCTCTCAATCTTCCTTCCATATCAGTGAGGTAGTATTCGTTCAAGAATGGTTCCGTACTCTTCATTAATGTGAAAAGTGCTGGAGGCAGCTCCTGAAACAATCACAATCACAATCAAATACAACAGTCGATGTTCATTGATTTTCCTAGTTCAAAGCAATTCACACCCTGCAACTTAAGCAGGATTTCATTGCATCATGTTCATATCCTGCAATGGTGTTAGGGAATTGTTATATACCTGAATGATCTTAGACTTGGGCTGCAAAAGGAACAAAGTTGTAATGAGTTCTAGGTATAGAAAGCAAGCAGACGATATTATTTGTAAACAAAGTTCGGTTGTGGCATTTCGTTTACCGCCTGGTCAGTTATAGCGAGTGTGCCGCCGGGTTTAAGCAACCGGAATGCTTCATTTACCAAAGCTATTATTGCTCTTTCAGGACATTCATGGAACTGCACACATTCAGATTCAAACGATTGTGTTTTTCATTTAGACAAACATCCCCAACAGGATTTCACTATGTTGGAGGATAAAGGCATACCACATAACCGAAAGAAACGAGATCGAACGATTCCGATGGCAAGCCGGTGTTTTCTCCGGCTGCATGTATCCATGTGATGGGGTTCCTCCGAGGGGGTATTTTCTTTTCCTTATATTGAGCTACCGACAGAAAGTAGGGCGACAAATCTAGGCCCTGCCATGCACATATAGCACACATTCATATCCGAGACTCACATTCAAATCCGAGTAACATAGGTTGTGATATGTTTTCAAAAGAAGGAAGACGTGTATGTAGCACTTACAGTGACTTTAGCAGAAGGGAACTCATCGGCAAGAAATCGGGTACTCACACCAACGGAACATCCGATGTCTAAAATTGTTTCGATCTTGGCATTTCCTGAATGCATCATGTGATGTTGTTTGATTGCTTGAAGCCAATTTCCACGCATTTCTTGAGTTGCTTTCTCTAATGTTGAAGCATATGGAATAGCTCGCAGCGTCATAGACATGGTTGCGACCTCCGCTTCAGCTGCTGCCTGCCATACAATAGTTAATTTTTGTTGAATAGTATGGGGTGATTACAATGTAGTATATGTTCATAATCTTTCTTAAACATTTGACAACGAACACACCTTATAGACGCAACTACCCAAACCCAGAATCCCAAAGAAGAACAACTCTCATTTTAACCACGAGACTACTCAGTAGTAGGTTCTTTAAGATTTAGATGTAAACCAAGAGAACATGTTTTTTCCTTGACAAATTATGTCTTTTTTCCCCCTATGGTTTCGTCCTCACTCATACAGTCCTACACTATAATTTGAACTACCCCATGTACGTAATCAACCAAGCATACATAGATATGTACACAAACACTTTAAAGAAGTCTATATACAAACAATATTCGTTACCAACAAATTTAACATGTGTCGAACAACAATTGGATTGAATACTTACCATCCATGAAAGATTGCCATCGTCATATGCATGAAAAGGATTCAGATAATCTGTTCAAAATACACACATCTTTTAGTATGGATTGAATAGTTAAAATTGGTATAATTTCAAAATTTACCCCTAATATTTGACAAAATAATCACTTTGATCTCTATTATTTTTCTTTTTGGATTATTTTTACCCAAAAGTTTCATTTTGGGATAAAATGACCCCTAGTTAGACATAAACCATTAGTTGACTAATTGATCATTGTATGCCTTTGACATGAGAATGTCATGAGTCCAAAGTAATGACGTGACATATATCACATGTTAAAAATGAGACATGCAAATGTTATGTGTCGAAATTGATAACGTGACACCCTGTTGAAAAATACGACATATATCACGTGCCGAAAATAATGATATGATAAGAAGTGATGACATGACGATCTCAAGTCAACAACGTTAGTCAATTAACTATTTCAATCTAATCTGAAATCATTTTTGTACTAAAATGAAACATTCAAAATAACTATTAAGTGAAACGTTAATTTCATATTTTGACATTAGTTCATTAAAATAGATTCCCCAAGGTTGCAAGAATCATTAAAGAAAAAAAAGCAAAAAGATGAGAAATGCATACAATCTGGGTATTGAAGAAAGGGGTTCTGAATGCTGGCTAGCTCCTTGTAAACATCCGATTCCAGAATCTCATTCGCCATCTGCCTCCATGGAATGCTTTTCTTCTCCGCAGTACTGTTGGCTTGGAACATTGTATTGGATATCAATTCATACATAAAAAAAGAAAAAGAAAACAAAAACAGAAAGGAAATGTTATGTGTGCAGTGTTTTGCATGCTCAAAAGAAATAAAGAAAGAGAAAAATAGGAACCTGATCAAAACTTGTCGAGCACCAAGCTTGAGCAGGAAGTAAAGGGGATTAAAGGAAATGAGAGCTTCAACAAGGCGAGACAAAGGAGTTTCATCTGCCCAATCTGGCCTCTCACGATCCCCTTCTTTGTATGCTACTGATAATGTCTCCATCTCTGCCTGATCTGCCATCCCAACATGAACTATGGATCCTGAATCTCTTCTTCTTCTTCCATTTTTGCCACTCATTGTTCTTCCATTTCCGGATCTTGTTGCAGCTAAAGATGTAAAGAAAAGCTTGTGAGAAGAGGAAGAGGAAGTTGCCCAAAGCGCCATTGCTGATAATTTTGTAGGTTAATGAGGCGTCAATGATAACTGAAGCTGTTTAGCTTCTCTTTTTTTATTCCCGTTTCATTAACCTGAATCCTCTCAGCCTATTGGATAACGTCACGTGGATGATAACACATCAAGTCTATCTGCTTTTTTGGCATAATGGCAAAAATATCATTATTGTTTGGGTAAACTATGAATTTAGTACTTAAACTATCAGTTTTGATCTGTTTTACTATCTAAACTTTCATTTTTTTTAAATCATACTTAATTTTTAGTTTTTTGTTTCATTTTAATACATCGCCGTAAAAAATTCCAACAAGTAAACTTGAAAACAGATTATACACATAAATGACGGCATCATGTAAGTGTTTAATATGATTTTTTTACAAAATGGGGTTTGATTAGAACACCATAAAGAATATAGCTTGATTAAGTTGAGTGTATTCTTGAGGGTTTGGGATTGCTAACGGAAATAGGGGTCTTAGTTCGATTGGAGAAGGTCAAAAGCTTGCCTTAGAGAGAGTTCTAGCTGGTTTTGAGCTTCAAAGGAGAAAAAAGATAGGCAAATTTTCTTATTAATCATTTTCTTATGTATAAATTATTGCTTTTGGGGTGGTGGGGTATTTGGAAAAAAAAATTAGAAATCGGATTTTTTTTGGGATAAATTAGATATAAAATCAATTATCAATGATTTATTTGATGTTTTAGTAGCAGTTTAGGGGTAAAATTAAATATTAACTTTTTTATTAACGTCGGCACATCGTTAATTTAATAGAGATGACGGTGGAGTGATCATTTTGTTACAAGACGATAGCATTAGTGACTAATTTGTTAATTTTGAAACTTAAGTAGGGAAAATAAATATTTACTTATACATTAGTGACTATTTGTGTAATTTATCCTAAAAATACCCAAAATTTTATAAAATTAAAAAAATCTCTTAAAAATCTATTTTTAATTTTTAGTACAGTCGATCGCCACCAACACCGTTAATTGAACGAACACCTAATGTTGTGTGATCGATCAAACTCTGAATGATCATGTAAATGTAAGATTTCACAATCGACCAAAAGGACTTCATTTTAATGCAATAGTCAATTATCATTGCAATTAGGAGTTGAAGTAAGTGTTCAACTGTTGGATATTTAGTTGGTCACATGCCGTTGAAATTTTAACTGATTGATTACGTTGGTAGCAGTGAACGATGGTAAATAGATTAAAATTAGGATTTTTAGAATTTTTAAGATTTTTTTTATACTTTTATAAAAAAAATTTAAAATAAAATTTAAGTGTTTTTAAAAATATTTTTTAATTTCACAAATACAACACATGTCAGATAACAATATGAAAAACAAAACACTTAAAAATATAATTTAAAACCGTTAAACACATACTTCAGAAAAAAAAAACTTTAAACATCTAAAATTAATTTAAATTATAATTTAATCACTTTTTTACATTAAACCTATAAAAATTACATTAAACATAAAAAAATTAATTTGACCAATCTAATTATATAGAAAAACCAAAATAAAAATATCTTTTCCAAAAGTAATCATGCGTTCCAGTATAACAGAGCAACAGAGGCGCGTGTCTTTAACCTCCGAACACTTGACTTACCAAACACCCTAGCGGTTGATCAAGACACTCCCTCTCCTCGTCTGGGGAAAATATATAAAAACCCACAATTAAAGGTCCCCGCTCTAATCCAACCCAATAACTTCGACCTTAATTGTTCACACTCGGATACTCCCCAATATGCCGTCTTTCAATTGGTTCGTGTAAAACACGTGAAACTAATGAGCGTGAGTCGAACCCTCCCTATTCCCGCTATGATTCTTCCGGAGCACGGCTTTTTCGATGCACCCACACGCTTCTATGGAGTAGGTTGGAACCACGGGGGCACGCTCCACCGTACACCTGTAAGATAAGGATAGAGGGAGAAAAAAAGAAAAATTACGGGAGAAAAAAACGAACAGAATTTTCTTAGAGAGAGAAAGAGAGAAGCGTCGAGAGAGAGAGAGAAACTCAGAGGAAGATCTTACATCGAACCGGCGAAGGTAAGGCGCTGAGAAATCTATATTTTTCCTCGTCTCTTTTGTTATCTTTGATTTGATTTAGGGTTTATAAGGATGATTGTGGTTATAATTTTGTAGATCGAGGAGGGGTTTCATTCTCTAGATTTGTTGTGTTTATCTTGGATTTGGTGGTTAAAACTTGGGAAAACCTCAAGTTTGGAGGTGAAATTAGGGTTTTGAAGCGGCTTTGGTTAAACCCTAGTTCGGATTGATCGGAAAAGTTGATTCTTTTTTCGTTTGGAGTCCGGAGAAGGGGAAATTAGGGTTTTAAACCCTAATATATGTATGGCTTCGGGGACGGTAGTTGGAGAAGGAAAAGATGGTGAAAACAGAGAGAGACAGCGGTACATGGAGAACAAGGTTTACACCAGGAAAGCGTTTAAAGGTCCCAAGAAAAGCAATCTTCTCGACACCACCACTAACAACGTCAACACGACCAAGGATGGCAACGAAGGCAACAATATCAACACCACCAAGGATGGCAACGAAGGGAACAACAAGAACAACATCAACACCACCAAGGATGGCAACGAAGGCAACAACAACAACAAAAACATCAACTTCACCAAGGATGGCAACGAAGGCAACAACAACATCAACACTACCCAGGATGGCAACGAAGGCAACAACAACGACAACAGCATCATTATTAACAAAGAGGACAACAACAACAACATTAACAACAAAGAGGACAACAACAATGGCAACAACAACGAATACAACAAAATCGGCAGCACTGTTGTGAACAATAGTGTCTTTACCACAATCGCTGCCCCTATAATTGTGCACAATGAGGACAACACGAATGACAAGAACAATAGTAACGATGATAACAAGAATAACTCTGCTGAAGCACCAACTCAGCCTCCTCCTTTGGAGCATAGGGATTCATCTCATCAACAGCCTGCTCCCCATGTAGATACTGCAGTGTCTAATGATTCTTCAAGTCTTAAGAAGCAAAAGGCTGTGACTGACAATGGAGCTCTGAAGCCGGGTTCAGAAAACAGGGTGAAGGTCAATTTGGCTTCAAGGTCTAAGCAGCAGATGTGGGAACTGAGGAGGAAGCTAGAGAGTGAGCTTGATTTGGTGAGGAATTTGGTGAAGAGGATTGAAGCTAAAGAAGCGCAAATTAGTAATTCCCATGTCACCATGAATGATGGTGCTGATTATAGATTCAAGAGGGTTCAACCCGAGGTGACTCCAGTTGGCATTCCTCAGGAGCCTGTCAAGCAAAATAGGCCTTTGAACCAGTTGAATATTCCTGTCTTGGAGAATAGTCAGGGTGTAAGTGAAAATATAGAGAAGGAGAAGAGAACGCCTAAGGCAAACCAATTCTATCGGAATTCAGAGTTTTTGCTTGCAAAAGATAAGTTTCCCCCAGCAGAGAGTAACAAAAAGTTGAAATTAAATGCGAAGAAGCACGGAGGGGGTGAATTAAATTGTGGGTTTGGTATGGGTAACAAGTGCTTTAAGAGCTGTATCTCTTTGCTTGAAAGACTAATGAAGCATAAGCATGGTTGGGTCTTTAATGCCCCTGTTGATGTCAAAGGTTTGGGTTTGCATGATTACTATAGTATCATTAAGCATCCCATGGATTTGGGTACTGTGAAATCAAGGCTTAACAAGAACTGGTACAAATCGCCTAGAGAGTTTGCGGAGGATGTGAGACTAACATTTCGCAATGCTATGACATATAATCCTAAGGGACAAGATGTTCATATAATGGCTGAGGAGTTATCGCAGATATTCGAGGACAAATGGGCTGCTATAGAGGCAGATTATATTCGGGATATGAGACTTGCAATGGAATATGAAGCTAGTCTTCCCATGCCGACTCCAAGAAAGGCACCTCCAATGCTTCCCCCTCCACTTGATATGAGAAGGATCCTGGATAGACCAAAGTCAATGATGGGCCTTGATGATCTGAGACCAAAACGCACTGCTACTACACCTTCAGGTAGGATCCCTACTCCAAAAAAGCCTAAGGCAAAGGATCCGTGTAAGAGGGACATGACTTATGAAGAGAAGCAGAAGCTTAGCACCAACCTTCAGAGTTTGCCTTCGGAGAAGCTGGACAACATCGTACAGATTATTAGAAAAAGGAATTCGGATCTCTTCCAGCATGATGATGAAATTGAGGTGGACATTGACAGTGTGGATACTGAGACACTTTGGGAGCTAGATAGATTTATTACCAACTACAAGAAAAGTTTAAGCAAAAACAAGAGAAAAGTTGAACTTGCCATTCAAGCTAGAGCAAAAGCTGGGCAGACTGTACAAGAGAATGTATAGCTTTTTTGTCATAATTTCTTATGAAATATCTTTTACCAAGAGTTGCTGAATTCTTATATTTTATTTAGTTGCAGAACCCAACGCCTGCTTTGGTTGAAGTGCCAAAGGAAGCCACAACTAGTAAGTTTTCACATTATAAGAATGATGGTATTTTGGTTGTTTCATGCATGTTTGGACTGATAAGTAAAATTTCTTACTTATATCTACAGATGAGCAGAATATGTTTGCATCAACTGTTGAAGTGGAAAAACGTGGAGATAATGCTAGTAGGTCAAGTAGTTCAAGTAGCTCCAGCAGTGATTTCGGGTCTTCATCAAGTGGTACTATAACATGTTTCTAACTAGATTTATTTTTCTTTTTTCCCCCTCCGATCTCGTCATGTTCTTAACATACATTATTTTTTTTCAGATTCTGATACTGAAAGTTCCTCAGCATCTAAGTCTGATGCTGGCCATTCATCAAGGTCTTGAATTTTTTCATTCAGGTATGGTGAAATGTTCCTGGCTTACAAAAATTATTGATTTGATTCTTCAATGTTCCTTGGCTTCGTTTGCTCATTTTCAAGTGGTATCTTCTGCAGTAGAAGTGTGCAGAGTTTTGTTTATATTGTGGTTTGGTTGAATAGTGTGAAGTGCATTTAATGAAAACAGTGGCAACTATCATTGTGCGGAAGTATTACATTTTAAAAACGGTGCTAACTATCATTGTGTGGTTTAAGATCAATAGAGGCATCAATATTGTGGCTAAAAGGGTAATTTCTTTCTCAAAGGTGGTAGATTCTAGTTACTCTTCCTATTTGAAATAATTGGTAACTTATCAATTGCCCTAAAGTCCAGACTCTAAACCCTGAACCAAACTGACAAGCCTTAATCTCAACATATCTGGGGCCCGCGAAAGGAATCAAGACAGAAAAAATTTACATCAGATCACATACACAAATCCTCCAATACTTTATATCGATTATTCTCCTCTCTTGAAGCTCCAATAATTTCGTATCATTTTTTCACCTCTACCCATTCTGTTTTGGTCTCCGCTTCAATCTTTTGGCAGAATATCAATTACTTCATTCTTCCAATAGGTGCATCCCTCCGTCTACATTTTGTTGCCAAATCATAGTAAATAGAGGTTTTCTCTCAACTTATCCTTTATAAGAGCTATCCCAAATCCCAATTTAGAGACAATTGTCCTCATTTAAAGTTGTCCTTCCTGGTCTAACAACACATCCGTATTAACATTCTTTTTTCCCTTCTTTTAATTGGGCAAAGGGATATCTACAATGGATGAAATGAGTTTGCATCTTTTTTGGGAGCAGAACTGATTCATATTATTGTGACTTTTATAACTGGATACGCTCGGGAAATTGTATGATTAAATCAACTGGTGATAGAAGACTTCATGCTATTGATGGAAAAATTGCTAGCTTGAAATTCTTGGGATTTTGTTTTTCCAGATGATTTAGTTACTGGTTTTATTTGGACCTTGTTGAATAATGAGTCAATCATGTCATTTTGACCAACATTCTTACTAAATTTTCTGATCTAGTTTGCAGTGATATGTTGTTCTGATTTGTTTTGGTTTGATACGTTGGTATGGAGAATAACTATGCATAGCCCTGGGTTCGGGGTACCATCATTCTGCAGAGTCCATAAATGGGAAAAAATACATGCTGTCATAAGTTGTATCCTTCTGTTTCTTGTGGGATACAAAAGGTGGTTGAAAACTTGAAGTATTCTAGTCACATTTACCATGCCAAGAAAATCAATGAGATCCAGTATCACCACTAGAACGGCACAGTTCATTTTGGGAGCAAAGATTCTCTTGAGATCCTTTTTCATAAACCTATTTTTGTGCTCATTTTCTGTTGTTTCTGTTTGTTGGCTCCGAATTTCTTTACCAGTTGGTAAATTAATGTTTTGGGGTGAGTACATGTTATTGACTGGTGAGCTGCTTGTCCTAACTAACACCATTCACTTCAAAATCTCCGATTTTTCTGCACAATAAAACATATTGCCCATTTAATTGAGAACACATTTATGGTTTTGATGTGATTTAGTTGTGCTGCTGCTGCTTCTGCTTGTGTTATGATGGAAGATGGTTGTTAAGTATATGATGTGACAAATATTAAGCTTTTATTCCTTTTGATATGCATGCTTAAAAGTGTTATTAGATTGTTGAGAAAAGACCTGGTTAATGCTTTTGAAGTATTATGTTTACTAATATGTGGGGTTTTTGTATGCTTTCCAGTGGTTGATATAAGAATTTAGAGTAGGGTGCGGATGATCCTGAAGGTTTGCAGATTCTGTTTTAAGATTTTTGAAGTTGCATTAGGTGGTGGAGCTGTAGAGTGCCTGGAGCTCAGAAGTGTAGAGGCACCAGCCGTTTAGCCACTGAAGAGTGTGGCAGCACGGCACTCTGATGTGGACTATCATGTATAATATAGATGTGGTATCCAATGCTTAGGAGAAATTGGGTTTGTTTTGCGTAGCACCTGTACATTGCTAACTGCTGCTGCTGCTGATGCTGCTGCTGCTAATAGTTTTAGGGAACGTTTGATTCTTGTTATTTATAAGAAGATGCTGGCAGATTCAGGATTCTAAATTCATGTTATACACGGAAAATAACATTGTAATTTGGGTCATATTTGCTTAGCATGAAATAATCTGCAATTGCTTTCAAGCATTTTGGATCATATTAGTCGTGTGTTAATCTGTTGGCGGTTGAGGGCAAGTCTTTTCAAGCATTTTGGACCGACGCTAATCCCAACTTTACAGGAATTTTTGTTATTGAGAATCCATTGGTATTGAATTTCCATGCCATCCCATTTTTGGAAGAAGAAAGCATATAATGAATTTAACAGTGACTGGGAATAATTGGCCTCTGTAGGTTACTCTTCCGACTGAACTACTGCTGCTTGCCTATGCTGAAGATTAACCCATACAGCTTACAAAAGACTGGTTGGTATTATAAATGAATTAAGGGTAATCTATACGAATGATACTTATATTTTGGTTCACTCAAAAAAAGAGTGACTTTGGTCTCATATATTATGGATTCGTTTGGTTTTAGTTTTTCAACCGTTAATGAATTAATGAGAATTAACGAATGAGAAAATAAAATTGAATGAACCGATAATGTAATGATTAAAATCACTCTTTTTTTCGAATTTATGACTTTAATCAGACAAGTCAAATCCGTGAATTAAATACCACGTACTGCTAAAACTATCCTATGTTCTTTTAAAGAAAAATCACAAAAACATGATTTTAATTTAAAATTATTAAAAATAAAATTTAGTTATAATTGAAAATTTAATTAAAATATTATTTTTATTAATTTAACATATCAAATTATTTCTTTTGATGAATCAATAATTATTTTGTAATTAAGGTGTGAAAGCTTTAGTGACGGATTTGTAAATCGTCTCTGATCTGATCCCAACGAAATTTTCACCGTCATTCCCATGGCCTCCCCCAGTGATTGTCCAGATCAATCACAACCAGACCCCAACGAGAACCCTAACCCTAACCAACCACAGGAATCGCCTAAAGTCTTAGGCCCCGAAGCCCTTCAACCCCAACACAAACCCGATGATCAAGAAGATCTGATCGAAGAAGACGCTCATGTGGACGACCCAGATTTGTTTGTTCCTTCATCTCCACCCAACACTGACCTCCATGTCAACACCCCCAGAGGTTTTCGCCGTGGCGGGGGTCCTAGAGGGAAGAAGGCGGCTACGAAACGACGCGCTCAGGAGAAAAAGGACCGGAAGAAGCTGGAGATACTGAGTGAAGTCCTAAAGCCCATTCCTTTCGTCCCCAACAAAACCCTAGATTTTTCGTCGCACGAAAAGCTCTTGAAGCGACTCGGTTTGTGGGATTTCGTTCATTTGGAATTCGACAGAGATCTTAGAATCGATCTCATCGCTCAATTAATCGCTACATACAACTCGCAAGCTCGTGGTAGCTACGTTAATGGGTGGCGCGTTGGGGTCAACCGGGCCGACTTAGCTCGTGCCTTGAAGTTGTCTAAGAAGAAGGATAAGGATAGCGTCGTTGATATTGAAGAGTCGAAGGAATTGGTAGGCTTTCTTGAGGACTTTATGTCAAATTGGTTGCTTTTACACGAGGATACGTGGATGATGCCAGTAGAGGTGATGAACTGGACCAAAATGATTGAAGAATGCCATTTTGAGAAGGTTGATTGGGCTGGTTTGATTTGGTTTATGGTTGAGAAAGAGCTCACAGCCGCTCCTAATTTAAAGAATTGTTACTATGCCTCGCATTTGCAATGTCTGATAAAATTCCAAAAGGAAGAGCTGCTGTTGGAGAAACCAGAAAATGAGGTTTATGATGCTAAGGAGGAAGAGGAAGAACATAATGTTCCTGGGGATTTCAAGTTGTCTTCTGATTTGGTTAATGAATCTCACGAGGGATCACAGTTGGAGGAACATAATATTGAGTTGAGTCTTGGTGGGCAGGATAATTTGATGAATGAGGATGGTGTCGGAAAGGAGGCTGGTGGGCAGGATAATTTGATGAATAAGGATGGAGTTAAAAAGGAGGCTGTTGTGGGGGATGAGGATGGTATGGATTGTGAGGAAAGTAAGGAGGATGAACCTCGACTGGTGCAGTGGCATTTGGATGGTGATTTCAAGTTGTCTTCTGATTTGGTTAATGAATCTCACGAGGGATCACAGTTGGACGAACATAATATTGAGTTGAGTCTTGGTGGGCAGGATAATTTGATGAATGAGGATGGTGTCGGAAAGGAGGCTGGTGGGCAGGATAATTTGATGAATAAGGATGGTGTTAAAAAGGAGGCTGTTGTGGGGAATGAGGATGGTATGGATTGTGAGGAAAGTAAGGAGGATGAACCTCGACTGGTGCAGTGGGATTTGGATGGAGACAGCCATATGGATGTGGGGAGGGAGAATTTCTTAAGACAGTGTGATCTTGGTGATGTTGATATGGTGGAGGAAAAGAAACAAGATAAAAGAGAGGAAGTAGAGATGAGTGAGGGAGAAGAGATGGGAGAGGGAGAAGAGGGAGGAAAAGAAGAGGAACATGATGGACATGAGGAACAAGAGGAGCAGCATGAAGAACAAGATGAGCAAGAGGAGCAACATGGAGAAGGCTTTCCCATTTCACCAATCAGTGACAATTTACAGGGCCTGCATTCAACAAATCTTCTTGAAGGAATGGAAACTGCCAATCTCTCTTTTACAACTGGGTTGCATATTCGTGATAACTCATCAGGAGAATTTCTTGTATCTAAGGTTGATGTGCAAACAGTTCCTGCTGTCTCGTCATTTCTGGGTAATGGTAACAAGAGAGAGATTGATCATGAAGATGATATATCTCGTAATTCTTTGAACGGTAGCAATAAGAGGTTGAGAACTGATGGGCACTGGGATAAGTCATCTGAATTTGATATATGCATGGGTCAAATGCAGCATCTGATGGAGAAAGCTAGAATGCTATATGCTGCAAAAGAACAAGCTTGTGAAGATTCCAGTATGAACCAACAAGTTATGCTCCATGAGCTGCAACGGAGGGATAACCTAATCGAACATTTGCAGAAGGCCAAGTTTGAAGAGCAGCAGAAGAGACAGATGGAGGTGTATAGGCTTGAGCGCGAGCTCTATTTGATGGAAGATCTTTTAAATGGATACAGAAAGGCTTTGAAGGAAACAAACAGAGCTTTTGCCGAGTATAGAGCACGTTGTCCCCTGCCTGATGAATCACTTTACAAGGATGTTATTGGGTCTGGGGGGTTAGTTCTGAGCACAAGGGAAATAGAAAAGCAGCGTCTGAAACAAGAAGAAGAGGAGAGGCTTAATAGACAGTTAATTGAGAATAAGATTAAGGATTTTGAAGCAGGGTGGATAGGGAAATTTGATGCGCACAAGGATGTCATTTCTCTTCTGAGTAACAAATTGGTTGATGTGGAGAATGAAGTTAAACGTCTTAAAGAGCTTTCCAAGCGAAAGGTTTCAGGTACCTCGGAATGCATTCCAAATGAAATGGAAATGTGTAGTCAGTAAGGTATGTCCAGTAAGTTAAGTTTTATGTCATGCAGAACTACTTTTACTTAAACAATATGCATCATGTACAGCTTCTGTGTATGGAGTCCTTTGTTCTAGTTGCAAAGTTTAGTAGCAGTGTAACAGCAGATGGTTTAGCTTCTCAATTCTTTTAGTGGTTCAAATTAAGAGTCCCTTGCTTGAATCTGATTTACCTGTTTTTCTTTAGCACTTCCTTGAAATATGCAAACTATAGAAATGGTTGCTTCAATCTATCTCTTTAATGTACAAGTTGGACCGGGAGTACTTGCTCTGGCTTTTATATCCTGTTATGAACTGGTTATTTTGCTAGCAAGTCAAGTCAACAATGAGGATTTAGAGTCAATAAGGTGGGCAGACATGATTTACAAGTTATATTTTACCTTTTGCAGTTAGGTGATTTCTAATAAATATGGAAATAAGATTCAGTTCTAATTTTTTAGTTGGGGGCAAGTCATTTTGGAACTTAGCCTAGCCGATTTGAGTAATTAATGGGAGTGTTTTTTTCCATGAGATTTTGGACTCAAATAATTGCATTTGTAGGGTGCACGTACGTTGTCAATGATTAAGAAAGATTATGAATAGATATTACCTTGTAATTATTTCATACTATAATAAAAAAAAAAGTAGCAATGCAACATAGCAGATCATCAATAAACTCAGCAGATGAGTTTGGTAAGTATATTTATTCAAGTGTTTGAGAAAATATATCAGATCCCAACAATAGGATATGCTACAGAAACCCTAAGGGGATGTTTGGTTCAAGGATTAGGGATTCCTATTGGATGAGAATCTCACATTCCCATGTTTGGTTGGTCGAGAATCTCATTTCCGGTAATGTTTTATTACCAATAGTAGATTTTTTGATGTATATTACCGGGAATGTCATTACGTCTTTTCCCTTAGGTATTGTAACATTACCGGCGTTTTAGATTAAAATGCTCTTAAATTTTTTTTTTCAAAAATATTCTTCTTCTGTCATTGAGTAATAAAAATTCTACGAAGGTTAAATTACAAATTTATTCTTAAATTATTTTAGATTTACAAAAAAAAATCTATAATTAAAATTTTATATGAAATTCAGATGTTAAATTTTTTTTTTACCCTTTCATTAAATCTTTTTTATATTTTTAATTTTGTAAAAAAAATTATATAAATATTATAAATTTAATTTTTTAAAGAAAACATATAAATATTTTACAATTTGTAATACTATACAAATATATAATAAGGACAATTTGGTCAAATATATATTCCAATAATATTTTATTCTTTTAACCAAACACGATAATCTTACATTCCTGCTAAACCAACCAAAAACAAAATACAATATTCCCAATAATCATATTCCATGGTAATCTTTTATTCCCACTAGTAATTTCACATTCCGTGAACCAAACGTACCCTAAGGGGTTGTTTGGATCGGGGAATGTGGGATACCCATGCGAATGAAATCCACATTCTTATGTTTGGTTGGCCGAGAATCTCATTATCGATAATGTTTTATTACCAATAGTAGATTTTTTTGGGTATATTACTGGGAATGTCATTACCTCTTTCCTTAGGTATTGTTGGATTACTGGCGTTTTGGACTAAAATGCCTTTAATTTTTTTTTTCAAAAATATCATTCTTCTGTCATTGAATAATAAAAATTATACGAAGGTTAAATTACAAATTTATCTTTAAATTATTTTAGATTTACAAAAAAAATCTATAATTAAAATTTTATATGAAGTTTAAAGGTTAAAATAAAACTTTATCCTTTCATTAAACCTTTTTATATTTTTAATTTTGTAAAAACAATTATATAAATTTTATGAATTTTTATTTTTTAAAGAAAATATATAAATATTTTTTAACTTAAAAACAAATATATAATAAGGATAATTTGGTCAAATATACATTCCAATAATCTTTTATTCTTTTAACCAAACGTGGTAATCTTACATTCCTGCTAAACCAATCAAACACAAAATACAACATTCTCATTAATCTTATTTATTGGTAATCTTTTATTACCACTGGTAACTTTTTATTCCTACTGATAATCTTACATTCCGTGAATCAAATGTACCTAAAAGGTGACAAGATGAACCTAGCTAGTCCTGCTTCTTAAGCTTCAACTTTCTCTTGACACCCGAATCCAACTTTTTATAGTGATTCTGAAGCTGCTCAAACATATCGTAAACAAACCCATCTATTTGCTCATCATACCTCTCATACAGTACTGGTAACGTATGAGCTGCAACAAAACCTGAGAATCAAAATAAAAACTTTGTATGGTTAAAAAACCTGAGAATCTGTTTCAGACAAGGGTGCGAGACAAGGATTGAACCGTGTTGGACATATACCCGTATCCGCCTATCACACCCGAGTCCAAGTAACAGAGCACACAACCACACATCAGAGTATCACCGTGCTTTCTTCTTTTCTAAATGGAACTACCGAGCTATTAATGCAAGACAAAGTTAATAAAATTTCTTACCAATGTACAGAACAGTAAAAAAGTTGCTCCAGCTTCCAATAACAGCAGCAACCCACAAGCTTACTGCAACCTGGAAACATTTTGATCATTAATAATTCACTCCAGCAAATCTAGTGCGACAGAGGAAGCTTGTTAGGAATGCAGATTCAATGAAATGTTCTTCTCCCACATACTGTGATTGGAAACAAAGTTGACAATGTTCTATAAAAGTCTAAAACGATGCAAGTTTTTTCGGCATTGTGGATTGACATGCTGAAACTTGTTCCAAAATATTATTTTCGTTTGATTTCCAAACTTTTATTTGGATTAATTCTCTAAAGTTGCATGCATTTGTAAAATGTTAGTAAGGGCCATTTATTGACAAATTTCACTTCAATATTTTCGATTTTAACAACCAATTCCAAGTATACAACCAAGAAAATAAGAAAGAAATTCGAAAACCAGGTTAAAGAAAGAGTGAAGAATGCCGCAGTAAGTAGAATGCATATAAGAATGCCAGAATCTGTAGCTAAGGGAAGAGTACTAGGGAAATATCAAGAGCGTACCGCAAGAAATTGTTTCAGGTTTCCTCGACATGAAACATCCTGCAGAAACTGTAAGCTCCGGTTCACCTCAGCACTGACCGACCTACCGATGCTGACAAATAATTCGTCGGGCAAAACAAGGCGTGGCACTTGAGAAGATGACCTGTTTCCATTAAGTAATTTACCATAAAAAACCTCGCAATCCAATCCGCGAACACATAGCAGCAAAACCATGAAGAGAAACAAATAGAAAGAAATAAAAACAGCAGATAAGCACCTGTTAAGAAAACCTAAGGCATTTGACCAAACAAACTGAGCAAGCATGCCAAGAACCAAAGCAAAGCATAGAAGGGTCAGGAAATGGTAATTAAGCCATTCAAATAGAACCCAAATTGCTGTTGCACCAGCTAAAACACTAGCTGAGATCTTCTTGTTCCTCCATAACAAAACATCAGCAGCTGCACAGTTTACAGTAACAACATTTATCATTGCAAGTGAATTTTAGCAGTTTTAAGAAAAGGGTAGAAAGTCCTACATTTTCCACCCCCCAATATATGGTGGACAGGCCTCTCGCGTCCGAAAAGCCGGTTGAATCGAGACACAACTGAGTTTGACTTCTCTTCCTCAAAAAAATAGACAGATTTCTTCTTAGAAACACTATCGGCAACTATCTCTACCAGATTGCTCAAAAGGTCCTCTGGTGTTATTTTTTCAGGCATTATTCTTGTGCTGCAAGAAAATACACAATTATTCTCCAAGAATAAACAGAACATCCCTGAAATCTCATCAATATTCTGACATCTCACAAGTAATCTAAATTTTTTATTAGTAAATTTGCAATATTTATGGCGGGGGGGGGGGGGGGAGGATTAAAAACATAGTCTTGATAATTGAAACTTCATTTAAGATGTAATAACCATACTGAATTGGAATTTTAAATGTTCATATTTTCAAGATACAGCTTTCATAGAGCACAAAGAAGTGACCATCTACCTCAAATTTTATATAACTTAATATTATTTTCCTGGCTCCTAACATAAAATTTTTCGCTCTAAAGCTCCATGACACTGAATTTAATACACGAACTTCACCCAAAAAGAGAAGATATAGTAGTAAAAATAAAGCAAAAGTTGCAGAAATTTGCTACTGCAATTGAAAAATAAGAATCCCCAGAAATATCCAAGTTCAAGGAAGAGAAAGCAGCCAAGGCAAGGAACTCAATCAAGCAAGATAAATCCAAGAACCAAACAAAACCACCAACAACTGAAAAGATAAAAACAACCCAGAATTTTAAACTAAGAACTTTACTAGAATCAAATACAAGAAAAGAGAAAAACATGATCAAAGAATTGCAGTTCTTGCAGAAAATATCTTCATTTGTACATGAGAAATTGAAAAGAAGACAAAGGATGAAAAAGAGCACGAACCAGGGAGGGAGAGAGAGAGGCTGGTGATATATTTGAGGACAGTGGGTGATACTGACAATAAATGAATGAAGAATGGAGGAATCAAATACTATAAATTATTTACGCCTTTTACTTGTACGTGAGAATCACATTCACTCCCTAGACTTTTCAAATTATATTAAAATTAAGGATAAACTACCTATTTCATCACTCATCTATTACTTACTTTCTATTTTTGGTCATCTAACTATTATTTTTTTAAAATTATATCTAATATTATGTTTTGGTTCTATTTTAGTCATATGGTGTTTAAAAATTAATAGTTATGTTGCACGGGTACGACAACTAAATGTTGTTTCAAGTACCCAATATGACCCCAAGATGCGTACGAGACGAGTACAATTTGAGTATTTAACGGGACATCCCATGTTAAAGGGGTATGATTAGAATTAATTGGGTATGTCAGAGAGATTTTTTAGGGACGTATTAGAGATGGCGTTTGAACTTTACACACGTACTCAAGGTTATTTTTTTTATATTTAACTTTAAAAAAATAACTAAAAAAGATGAATTTGAATAAGAAATTGAAGTTGATTTTGAAGCATCGAATATCAGCTAACTTACCACAAATTTTCGGATGAGATTATGGTATTTTTGTGTTGAGATATCTTCTTACATGTGAGTCTTCTTTAAGTTGCCTTTCTAGCACATCTTGAAATGCCTCAATCGAATGTCGTAAACTCAAGATATGTCAGTTTTAATGAAGATAATGCAAACATAAAACTGAATATGGGTTTAATATGCGATTTTATAGTAATTACAAATTTTAATTTTTCTTTAAATTTATCATACCCTTGTACTTGTATCATGTAATTTTAAAAATTATCGTTTCACAGCCCCATGTCCTCTATGTACCAGTGCAACATAGTCAAAACGTAATATTATGTATAATTTTGAAAATAAAAATAGTTTGGTAACTAAAATAGAAAGTAAATAATAGATGAGATAGTTTACCCTAAAATTAAAAGTGTTTCATCTTTTTTAAGTATGTATTGCGTCGCGAACATGATTTGGTAGGTAGATAAATGTCATAATTAGTTTATATATAATAATAACAACAATAATAAATACTGTAGTATGTATCTATAATATTTCAAAGCACCTCTACAATTTCATGGTAAATAAGCAACAAGTTATTGAGATATATTTTGATAAATTAATTTCAGTTTGTTTCTTAAAAAAATTATTTTGATAAAAGAATGTCTAAATTTCGAGTCTTTATGTATGTATAAAATCCTTATTGGAAGACTCACCCACCAAAACTAGATGTGCAACGTAGATCAGTCCAAATTAATCAAGGCAAAGCCTTGAAATTGAGAGGCAACAAAAAAAAAATTAAAATGATTTTGCAAAAAGTTAACATTTTATGATGTTAAGATGATTTCTTTAAAAAATATTTTTATTATTTTATTTCTATATAATATAAAAATTCGAGACGAAAGGAAGTTTAGATGATAATATTTAGAGGTAGTTTTGCTCATGGATAAACCAATGTCTAATTCTAAAAAGTTGAACCAGAATAAAAATTATATTATTTTTTAGGGTAAAGTACACAAATAGTCCCCCGACTATAGTGTGATGCTTTATTGAGTCTCTTGACTATTAAAAGTTACAAAATGATCTTCTAACTATAGAGTGTTGTTTTGTTGAGTCCCTCTGCTATTAAAAGTTACAAAATGCTTACCCGACTATTTAGTATGTTCTAAACTCGTCATTTTCCATTAAAAAATGATGGCAATCTGAGCTGGATGTTAACATACTGACTGAGATATAATAAAATATAATCTCATAATCTAAAAAAATTATCATATCTCAGTAAACGGGTTAACATCCAACTCATACTATTGTCAAAATTTTAATGAAAAAGGACGAGTTTGGAACATACTAAATAATTGGGGTGACCATTTTGTAACTTTGAATAGTCAGGGGATTCAACAAAGCAATACCCAATAATCGGAGAATCATTTTGTAACTTTTAATAGTTGGAGGACTAAAAGAAGCATGACCATATAGTAAGGGACTATTTGTGTACTTTACCACTATAGTGTGATGCTTTATTGAGTCTCTTAACTATTAAAAGTTACAAAATGATCTTCTAACTATAGAGTGTTGTTTTGTTGAGTCTCTTTGCTATTAAAAGTTACAAAATGCTTACCCGACTATTTAGTATGTTCTAAACTCATCATTTTCCATTAAAAAGTGATGGCAATCTGAGTTGGATGTTAACATACTGACTGAGATATGATAAAATATAATCTCATAATCTAAAAAAATTATCATATCTCAGTCAACAGGTTAACATCCAACTCATACTATTGTCAAAATTTTAATGATAAAGGATGAGTTTGGAACATACTAAATAATTGGGGTGACCATTTTGTAACTTTGAATAGTCAGGGGATTCAACAAAGCAACACCCAATAATTGGAGAATCATTTTGTAACTTTTAATAGTTGGAGGACTAAAAGAAGCATGACCATATAGTAAGGGACAATTTGTGTACTTTACCATTATAGTGTGATGCTTTATTGAGTCTCTTGACTATTAAAAGTTACAAAATGATCTTCTAACTATAGAGTGTTGTTTTGTTGAGTCTCTTTGCTATTAAAAGTTACACAATGCTTACTCGACTATTTAGTATGTTCTAAACTCGTCATTTTCTGTAACCCCCAGACCTAGTCTGTAAGTTAGACCCAAACCTAAGTGGTCACATATCCCATTCAGAGTTTTTTTTTATATTCAAAACAACTTATAATACATTAGATATAATACATAACAAAATATTAATAATACAGATATATCCAAAACGATAGCAAATACATTCACCAGATACAACTGAAAAACATATAGAGATATATGTTCGTACAAAATAAGTAGTTGATCTCACCTGATGCCAAATCTGCTAGCTTACGGTCTGCTGTTATCTGGAAAAGGGTAAAAACTATAGAATGAGCTAAAAAGCCAGTGTGCTCCAAACAGTGTATAAAAACATACGAATAAAATACTCCAGTAAAACCGGTTATCAAACATGTTTTAAAATATGAACACTACCCCCATTCGTCAAGTCCAAAATGTGTAGGTTCCCCAGAACCATACACCCACCATCAAGTCCAGTAATGCCTTGAGAACACAGCCGAGGAGCCGGTAAATAAGGCCCTGAGCACACAGCAGAGGAGCCTCCAGGTATACTTCCTTCAACATTATCCCCCCCCAAATAAATCATGTTACGCTCATAACGGATATATATATATATATATATATATATATATATATAAATTTAAAACATAATTCAGGTCAAGTAGCAGATTAGAATCCATGTCATGTATCATATAAAAATCCAGGTCAAGTATCATATCAAAATCCCGTCAAAAATCAGATAAACTATTCATATGATAGTTTAAAACAATAAGATAACACCGTCAGGAAACACACCTGTAACAGTCTGAGAAATCGATAGGGAAGCCTATTACTGGGTATGTCGATCACGCTATGCTGCATCGCTAGATCCTACGAATTAGAAAAATCCATATTGGAACCCTAATATAAATAATCTAAATCTTATTTAAATAATATACGAAAACCTACGGGTAATTCTTGTAGTACGTGGTTCGGGCTGATCTGACGAACGGACAACACCGGACCTAACTGATCCCCTTTCAGGTGAAACACGAGTACCTTCATAAAATATTTTACTCAATCAATTCCTTAACCAAAGCTCAAATAAATAATCAAAAATGCTAAAATACTAAGCCTTTTGGGTTCACAAGCTCGATTCGGGAATTTCGAGTCAGAATTTGGCAAAACAGACTTCGGAATCAGATTCAGAATATCGAAAAACATAAAGTATGACCTTTCGGATATTTAAATTCTTGGTCAAATTCAAAGTCAACGGGTTTGACTGACGATTTGGAGACTTTCGAGTTCGAATTTGGTGAAACGAACCCCAAAAACGGATTCGAGATGTCAAAAAATGTCAAGATAGGTATACTCGGGAAAAATTAACGGTCGTTTAATAGCCGGTCAAAGTTCTGGTCAAAGGAGGTCAATAGATGATCAACCATTTTACGAAAATAGCACCCTTTTAAAATTAATTACGAAAATAACACCCTTTTCAAGGTAATTACCAGAATACCACTATTTTTAAAATAATTATCAAAATACCACCCGGTCAACGGTCAACGGGTCGGGTTGGGTCAAAACCGATCAAACCGATCATTTTAACCTTCCCCACGCGCAGTGGCGACGCGTGGGGGCGCGTGGGCCACTTTCTGGCGTCGAAAAAATTTTGGAAAAATTCCTAAAAATTATTTTAAGCGATTTTGAGGCACTTACAAAGCTCGGTTCACAATTTTGAACGGTGGAGAGCTCGATTTCAATAAATCGAAAACTTTGACCGCTTCACTTCCTCATGCACCGTCACCGACGGAGACCAAGGATGACACCGGCGGACTCGAAACGGCACAAGGAACACGATGGTGCAAAAGGTGTCGAAAATGGAGCAACGATCGATGATGAATTTAAGATTTTCTCGGCGATGGAGCTAAAAAAACGTCGAGGCTTTGACTTGAAATTCATGGAGTTTGGCAGTGTTTCACTTCAATTAATTTAAGGGGTTTATTCCTCGCTCGATAATGAACACGATGGTGGTTTCAAAACAATGATCGAATGTCAGGTGGTGTCGAAATAGTGGTTGGAAGTTAGGGTGCGGGAGTGAAGAAAAGCTTAGATTTTTTTTCTCTTATAATAACTCCCCGCATATCTGATTCCTATTTATTAGAGTGTCTGCTGACACTTTTTTGGATAAATTTAGGGTTTAGTCCCTAAATTTCCTTAAACTTTAAAACATGCTACAAGTTTTGAGAACTTTTAATTTAGTCCCCAATTTTTACCAAATTGCTTAATTTCATTTTTTTTTCTTCAAATTTTCTGGGTTGTTACAATTCTTCCCCTCTACAAGAAATTTCGTCCTCGAAATTTACCTTATGAAAATAAGCGAGGAAATTAAGCCTCCATTGACTCTAATGTCTCCCAAGTAGCTTCTGAGGGGCTACGATTACTCCACTGAACTTTGACCAT